GTCACAGAGCTGTGACTGCTGAGAGGAAGGATAAGAGGTTAAGAAACGGGTGAATCTGTGCGCTGTAAGCAGAGGGGGGCTTTGAGAAGGGTTTGCACTGATGGATGTCTTTTGTAGATGCTGTTGAGAGGGGTCAATCCTCTCCTCGCTGTCTCTCATTCTTACTCTTCCTTCTCCCCTGTGGCTTACTCTCCTCCTATCCTCTGCCCTGAGTAAAACACATGTCTCTCTGTTATGTTTTTGACTCTATTTTAAGAAAAGCAGAAGGGATAGTTGCCATGTTTATGTGGCTGATAAATGGCATGACATATTAAAATCCTTTTTTTGTATTTGAACAATTAATTGTTTTAAATGTTGCAAGTAAATTTAGACATCACAAAATTATAATGTACAGTATAAAAAGATTATATTCAATTTGAGATTTGCTGAGAATTACATTTAAGTGTTATTGAAGTAGTTTTTTGTGAGTGTAAGATGACTGCAAATATTTATTGATAGCAAAAAACTAAAAAAATCTTGACTATCAGATGAGAACTGATATGGTGCAGATATATTTTGTGCATTCCTCAAAATATTCCAATGCAACGTCCTGTTTGCAGTCGTTGGAAAAATTAGTTTGATTGAGGATTTTAACGCTTAGAAAGATATTTTCCGCTTTGCTCTCTGTCATCGTGAGCATAATATTTAGCTTGCTTCTAATCTTAGTTTTCACGTTATTTCCTAGATTTATTCTTTGTGTAAAATGCTCTGGGTGTCATAATAACAACTGACGTTCTCAGAAAACTTGTGCAAGATCATTTGGCTGTTATTCAATAAGCAATAAAGGCATCATTAAGATATTGGCTGTCATCCCTCTTTAGTCTTGCGTAGTTTTGCTTTTTTATTACGAAAATCTAAATAAAACCAGCTTCTCATGGTAGCTAGAGTTTCTGGTCCAAGCTTGTCATTTATGGTCCCAAGTTGGTGTAGATAGCCGTTATGGCTGGTAGGGCTGGGCAACGATTAATCGTGATTATTCACTACACTATTGTAATTAACACTACACACACATATATTATGTAAACACAAACTTTTATTTTGGATGCGATTAATCGCGATTAATCGTTGCCCAGCCCTAATGGCTGGAGGTTGATCTTTTAGAGAACCTTGTTCCATCAAAAAAGAAGCTGCCATATTCCAAAAATCCGTTTAAGTTAGTATGACATGTTTTTTTCTCGCACAATACAGAGTGTTTTTGTCAGTGACATTTATTTTCTATTCCTGTTAAAACATTGCTGTAGCATGACTGGCAGTTTTTGGAATTGAGCACTTTCTCGGATTGGTGTGATGAATCAGTCAGGAGATTATGTGAGCGATAACATCTCAGCCTCTTCTCCTGCTCTCACTCTTACAGTCTAGTCAAGCCTGGAGCTACAGCACAGCCTATCACAATAGACGACTGCTATGTGTGTGTTCATTTATCACAATTTACTGATCTTCTCTGTTCTCGATGAAGGATGGCTTCAGTGTTTGTTTCTCTGAACTGTCTATTTTTCGCAATTACTGTCTGCTTTGCTTCTATTTCCCTCTAGTGCTACGTGAGCTTTAGGTTGATTGCCAGTTTGATAGCTGCCTGCATTTATGAGAAGATCTCCCTGGCATTAACTCTAAAGCTGAACATAGTTCACAGAGTGAAAGTTGGTCGCTGGCAGAGAAAAACAAACCAGTTTTTTAGTTTTCTAGAGTACTGCAGTGACCTTTGAATTAAGTGCTGTCTTATTTATCATCACAGTTACAAAGTCTGACCGCCTTTTGTTTATTCACCTTTTCAGTGGAATGCAGTGTGAAATACTGATGCTTTGAATAGCTGAAATGCACTGCATTCCAATGAAAGTGCAGTGAAATTCAGCATCTACAATGAAAAGATTATCCAGCTGTATAATGAGACGACTTTTCTGTGGTTCTGATCGTCGCTCAGCCTCTGGCTGACCTGCAGTGGGCTCAAGAATGACCTCATTCTCTGCTTTTTCTATCAGTCTCTGTCCTTTCTGTGTTCTATAGTTTCATGCTAATGATCCTCGGACATAATTCTATTCTATTGTGTTATGTTGTGTTCCAGACAAACATTTTTTCATGTTAATCTTTTTGTTAATGATCACTGGACAGAATTCTATATTCTATTCTATTCTATTCTAGACACATAAATGGAAACCTTTAAAACCCCATGAAATGGCTTAATGAGGGCAAGTTACATTCATGTGTTGACATATTTACTGTATTTTCCAGAAAATAAGTCACACCTGACCTGACTACAAGTTGCACCTGGTCAAAAATGCATTGTTAAAAAAAAAAAAACAGATCGCATCTGTGTATGTCACATTTGTTTGTAAATTTTGAAATATTGTAACATACCAAAAAGTTAATGAAACATTTACAAACATTCATTATAAATAAAAAAACATTTATTATAAATGTTTGCATATAGATAACCTCAAAACTAATAGACATGGACTGGTCTGGATTTTTAGAATTTCTAGAATCAGTCTAGCTTATAGTTGTAATTTCATATTTGTTTTCCTTTCCTGTGTCAGTGGTTGTTTCAGATGCATTTATCATTAAGTGCACATAAACATATATTCTTGACTGTAGCTGGCGATTTGAAGTTGAATGTGTAGATTACCAGAGCAGTTGACAGCTAGAGGGCTCTCTATACACACACTGGTGCTTGAACATACATTCAATGCTTTTGTATAATTAAGATTATTTATTTCCGCAACTGTATAAACTCTAACATGATTCTGTTATTTTTTGCAGATATTTCAAGGATATCATATTATGCAGGTAAGACAACCTCTTTTACTTTCCCTTCATCTCTTTCTCTCTGAAATGGATTTCAAATTGATTGGAGGGAGGGGGATGTTAATCCACCATTTACTGAATGTGAATTGAGTAGAGTGTGTTCTCCTATAAAGCAGATCAGTACATTCTGTTCCATAGCCTGTCAGCTGCCTTTGGGCTGCCCATATGACAATGGAGCTGCATTTTAATTCCCCCCATAACCAGCTATTCTCATTTGATGTATTATTCATTTATGTAAAACACTTTTTAATGCTGTAAACTCTCGAGCTTTGGGGTTTTATTCTTTCTTTTTGTTTTGAATTTGTTTTTGCTCATTTAGTGGTGTTGAAGGGAGTGTTGTTCAAGTCTAGATGTGTAGTTTGCTGGTGCATCTTTAATTCATTCATAGTTTTCTCACTTTTCTGTGGATCAGATTCAAGATGCCCAACCAACCAGCTGATGCTTCATATTTTTAACCTTGTTTCTTTCCATCACCAAGGGCATTACTGTTGGAAGGAAGGAGGGCCTTTTTAGACAGTAGGGTTCCTGTGTGTCTGTATGGCATCTATGGAGACCATTATTAAGCACAAAATGGGGCCTATTAGCTGATATTTGAGAATGCGGTTAGTATAGCAGGAAATGACCTGTTTGCCCTCCCTATAGGGAACGAGTGCTTGGAATGGTAATGAATATCTCTGGCAAACATGGCAAGGTGAAACGCTTAAATAACAACAGCGAATTATTTTCTGCATTATATGCTTTGAAATCAAATGGTAAGTTAGGACTTGTATTATAAGCACAAAATAGTCCACAAATCTGCTGGTACAGTTCTTTTACTGTAGAGGAAGAACAGTTCTTCCTGACCTGTACTAAGTTTCTTGACCTTACTTGACTCTGGTTTGGTCATCACTGTATTTATCCAAAAAAAGAGAAGTGGTCAGCATCTCTCCAAAGTCTCTTTTATTTTCTTTTTCTTTTTTTACAATTAACTGTCCTGTCTAATAATACAAATGGACAATAACACTTCCAATATATATGGCCAGTTCTGATATCTTAATTAAACAAAACCATTGAATATCACAAATTCTAGAGATTTGTTTTTCATTGGACGAGCACATTTTATCAAGCCAAATAACACTACTTTGATCACAAATAAAGAAATAGTTTGAATTATCATTAAAAAGGTGTGAATCAATTATTGTATAAAATATAAACTGAAAAATAAAACTGAAGAGTCAAAGAGAATCTGCTGTCTTTTTTTTTTTTTTACTGATTTTTAAAAAGGTTTATGAGAAATTCAAATATATATTTGACATAAATATTTACAAAAAAATATGATTTTTTAGAAGTTTTGTGGATGTTATTTACTACTATCATTAAATCGTCTGCAATTTTAGATATAGACAATGCCATTGCAGACTGAATTATGGTAAATCTCTGATATCATTTTTGTTTGTATAGTAAATAGCACAGAACAAAGTCTTAGCTGTAGTTTGTAATCTGAAAAGGTATGTTTGGGTTACACAACTTCTGAACTATTTCTTCAGTACATTGCCATAGTACCTTATCGAGAGTTCTTCAACATGAAAAACTGTTGAAGTTTTGTAAATTGCAAAGCTTGATGATGCACTTGTTTGCTAAAAAAAACTTTAGCTACATTTGCAGCGATGTTTCATCGTTTATTTATGTGCATCTCTGCAAGTATGGGCTGTTGTCAAAAACAGGAAACAGGCTTCCTTCCTTTGGCCTTTGTCAGGTAGCTGACGGACATTCCTTCAGTCCTTCTCTACATGAAACTCCACAGCTGTCCTGAAGAGCCACAAACAGCCTCTTGATGAAGCATACAATATAACATTTCTACCATCATTCATAAAGTGATTAGGGGTTCTTCGAAACGATAATGCTTTGTATTTAAATGTGCTACACAATGCCGAGAATGTAAACAGAAGCCGGACCGCCCAACTGAATAATCCTGGTCAAACCCTGACCCTGAAAAACCTGTTCGGCTGCTTCTTTTAGCTTGGTGGTCTGTGTTTTGTAAACATAAGCTGGTCAGCCAATAGCAGTTGGTTTCACAGGACTCATTAGCATATTTAAAGAGGCCCCCCCTCTTATTTCAGTTGGCCTGATTCTCTCTCTCTCCCATCCCTCCCTGTTACACACACTTTCTCTCCTGACACACTCTGCCGGATGGTGAAACTTACACACTCCGTCACCGCAGTCTCTCTTAATCTGGATGAACCTCAGAAAGGCAGCTAAAAGGAAGCATTTTAGCATGTGAGGATTATTCTTGTCGACGTTTCTGCTTTTGTTCCAGCCTTGCCCTCCGCATCCATTCTCTGGAATACTCCGGACAGCTGTGGGATTTCCCTGTCACTTTTGGATATTTCCCCACTGCTCTTGTTAGTGGTTTTCAAAAACAAGACCAGCACACCTTGCATTTGTATCTACCTGGCGTCCACCCTCTTTCCCATTACCGCATGCTCTTCTGGATCACTTCATGTTTTCGCACTTCTGGATTAGAGCATCAGCTGACCAATCACCTTCCTGTGACCTCACACAACGCCCCGCCACAAGCCTTTGAGAGCCATCCCTGGTGGCCTGGTCAAAGTGTGTTGCGGTGGGCCGGGGTCACCCCCTGCTCCCTATGACTGTGTCAGGGAGTCGGAGAGCCGCTGGGCCTGGGAGAGAGACGAGAGAGGAGGCCAGCGGATGGAGAGCAGCGGCTGCAATCCCTTCCCGCTGTGCTGGGCACGAGGAGCCAGCGTCTACTCCTACCCTCCCCCTCTGCCAAGTATGTCACCCAGATACAGCACTGCAAACCACTTCCAGAAAACCTCCACGATACTGTTTCACGCTCGATCTGTTTCACAGGATGTGGAGTATTGATTTAAAGGAGGTTTAGGAGAAAGGTGTAGGAGGTCCGATATGACCTCTCAGTGGTTTTCGTCTCTAGGTTTTTGCTACAGTCCTTTATTGTGGTATTTGCTCTCAATAGAAGTGCTTTTGAATTTGGTTTAGTTTAATATCTCGGCAGATGCCTTCTAGCACATTAGGGCTGTGCCACTACAATCTTACATTGTTTTATTGCACTTATTTTTCCTCACAATATTGCATCAGTCCTTCATGTTTTAGAGTAGTTTTATTTATGGTACGAGATAAAAGTGAAGTGAATCACACAAGCGATTCACTCACTCGTGTTTGGTGAAGTATCAATCATGATCTATCTATGATATTTTGTATAATGTATTGTGAGATAGTTGGCCATTCCAACCTTAGTTTATACCGGAGTCGACAACCTGTTAGAACTTCAATTTATTTTGCTATATGGATTAGACTACTGTTCAAAGGTTTTTTTGTTGTTTTTGAAAAAAATAAAAGTAGCCTATCTTATGCTCACCAAGGCTGTATTTATTTGATTAAAAATACAGTAAATGCATTAATTAATATTGTAACATTAAATGTTCAGCAGCCGTTACTCCAGGTTTCTTCAGAAATCATTCTAAAATGCTGGTTTGGTGCTCAATAGACATTTCTTAAAGGGATACTCCACCCAAAATGAAAATTCTGTCATCATTTACTCACCCTCAAGTTGTTGCAAACCTGTATGAGTTACTTTCTTCTGCTGAACACAAAGGAAGATATTTTGAAGAACGATTGGAACCAAACAGTTGATTGGCACCATTGACTTCCATAGTAGAAAAAAAAAATACTATGGAAGTCAATGGTGCCAAAGTTCCAATCGTTCTTCAAAATATCTTCCTTTGTGTTCAGCAGAAGAAAGAAACTCATACAGGTTTGCAACAACTTGAGGGTGAGTAAATGATGACAGAATTTTCATTTTTGGGTGGAGTATCCCTTTAATATTATCAATGTTGTAAACAGTTGTTCTACTTCATATTTTTGTGGAACCTTTGATTTTTTTTTCATAAAGTGCATTTATTTGAAATAGAAATCTTTTGTAACATTATGAATGCCTTTACTGTCTGTTTTGATCAATTTCATTTATCCTTGCTGAATATAAGTATTAATTTCTTTAAAAAAAATCATACTGACCCCAAACTTTTGAACAGTAGTGTATAGTACAGTAGGCAGTTTAGTCTTAGATTTGTATCGCACATCACTTACATGAGCAAGGGTCAGTTTATAATTTTTGCAATCTGACTTGAATCATGTAATTTATTATTCACTGACCAAAGATTTTTTTTTTTACTTGCATTTGCCACTGAATGTGTGGCCTGTATGACTAGGTTTACCCTTCCTGATTCCAAAAGTTGCTGATTTATACTGTTGTCCTGTGTACAAGTCTGGGCAAAGATATTAAAATTAGCTTATTTCTTTCAATTATTAATTCTTTTTTGACATGGTTTCAATGAAAAGCAGCCCCACTAGAGCAGGAAGTTTTGAAGGATCTCTTCTGTATTATAGGACTGAGAAATCGACTCACTGTCTATGAGCTCCAACTCATTAGGCTGAGTTTAATGAACAATCAGAGAGCCTGATTATCTCTCCGCTGACATCAGTGCAAGAGCAGTCATGTAGGTGGAGTGTCGCTTCATTACTGAGGGGTGAATTCCCACCTGAGCTACACTGATTGTGTATGTGGGAAGCTTGGCTCATGCCAAATATCGTTATTTATTGTCAGTGAGATCTGTGAATTTCATTGTGTGGCTGATGCATGGTACTGATGCAGAAATATTTACACTTTTATTATTTATTTTACTGGCCCAATCAGACATATTGATAACTTATAAAATGCTAGGCATTCCCGATATTAGCTTTCCTACAGTACAGACTTATCTAATTGCTGGAAAATTACCATTTGTTTATAGCTAAGTTAATAAAATCTCAGCAATACTGGTGTTAATTGGAGATTATATGCCTTTACAAATTAATATACCAAAGGCACACAGCTTGACAACCACTTTCAATTCTTTTCTCACATTTACTCTTGGGCCCTATTTCACACAGCGATTGCGGTTTACCGCCTACTGGCATCCAAGCTGCAGAAAGGAATGTAATAGTATTATTTTATCATTAAAAAAAGTGTGCTAAACTCCTAATAAACTGCTAATTCATTTTGTCTCCTCTCTAACTGTCCAGGCCATAGATAAAATCAAACCTCCTGCATGGCTAGCTTCTCTCCACCACAATCAGTTTTCATTTTTCTGTGCACCAAATACAGATTTTATAGCCATTAAAAGATGAGAATTAGCAGTGTTTTTTTTATGCAAGTGGTTACTGAATTTTTGTGCATCTTCATTTTAAACATATTTTTTGTTGAACTTTGTTTTTTTTAATAGCTATTTCTGTTCAAATATATTGAGTGATTCCAATATTCAAGTCTTTGATTTTGAGTAAATGGAAAAGACCTGTTTTTATTTGACAGTTATGTTAGCCTAGAATTAAAAGATGGAAGATGAAACATTACCAGGTGTTTCCCTTCACTCAAAACACATAAAACAACACTTAATTTCAACATTTACTCTCCTGATCCAGCCATATGCAAAGCATGCTGGGAAATAAAAATCCTCCGTCCAGTTTCAGTTAAAGCAACAAAAAACGGATCTCAACACAAACGGATTAAGTACACTTCCATTTTAAATTTAAGTGGATTGAACCCAATGCAATTAAGTTAGGACAAAATGTATAGCAATTGTTGCATTAGCTAATTTTAATTAAGTAATTTGAACGAGCAGCAAAATCATATTTTTCAGTGTAGATTTAGTAGCAATACGGTGTAATACACATACAAAGTTGAAAACTGACCTCTGTTAGCCAAGGGCAAAGAAATCAGGACACCGTGAACAATGACAGGGCAAAAGTATATGAAGAGAAACAAGAAAAGAGAGATGAAAACTGCACCTTTTCTTTTGTCACACCTTTCTCATGTTCAAGGGTTTGAGATCTAATAAGACAAAAAAAATGTCAGTCTCTCGCTCTCTCTCTCTCGCTCTCTCTCTCTCTCTCTCTCTCTCTCTCTCTCTCTCTCTCTCTCTCTCTCTCTCTCTCTCTCTCTCTCTCTCTCTCTCTCTCTCTCTCTCTCTCTCTCTCTCTCTCTCTCTCTCTCTCTCTCTCTCTCTCTCTCTCTCTCTCTCTCTCTCTCTCTTTCTCTCTTTCCTTCCAGCTCCTGTCTGTAAAGAAATTGAGTTGGAATTGGGATAAACCATTCCAGAGGCACAGAACCATCCCCTTTTTACTGTCTTCGAGGCTTGTGTTTGCTGCAAAGAATTTGTCTATTGGTGTCATCTTGTGAGAGGAGACCGAATTCTCTACCTATGGGTCTGTGCAGAATTACCCCATGAAAAGAGTCTTTTTAGTCATCTTCTAAGTTTAACCTATAGCTGTGGAGGAGCCAGTGAAATAAACCTTAAGTGAGAAAGAGATATTGAAAGAGACCACTCTCACTATCAGATGTCTCAGCTTACGTTTCTTGAGCTCAGATACTGGAGCTTTTTGTGTGGTGTCCAGTCTCTCTGGCAGAGATTGAGTTCTTTGAAAAGACTGTTGCTGGGAGAAAGATAAGGTGAAGGCACAGCACATGCGTACTAAAATGAGTTCAGTATGATACCAATGTGTCTAAGCAATGACTTTAGTTGTATCTAAATTATGTAGGTTTAACATGTTTGGTCAATTTTGTTTCTGCTTTTTTTTGTGTGTGTTTTGCCTTGTTTTTTTTTTTTTTTTTTTGCTTTGCTTTGACTTTGACTTTGGCTTTAGCTTAGCTAAGACTTAGAGCATCAATTGTTATGAACACAAATGTTGTGTGATCAGAGTTTCTGTCTCATCATTTGCCATGTTCTTTTGAGCAACCATTGCATAACCATAGCAAACATCCCATAATACAAATCTGACATTTGAAATGTTGTATACATTGTAAGTTGCACTTCAAAAGTTTTGTATCACGGGTCTTTTGTTTAGGCTGCAGTCCAATAAGTATTTAGGGTGAAAATTGATAACCATCCTGGCTACTGTATGACTGAGATTTTGGAAAATCCTACTGAAGGCATTACTGAAACAAAGCTTCTCTCTCTTGCCTCTGGTGCAGTCAAGGACATTTATCTGAATAATCTTATGCACAGTGAATGAACTACCATTCAGTCATTTTTCTTGTTTTATTCAATGTTATGCCACTGGACCTATTTCCTCTATGGAAATAGCACAGCTAAATATAATATTCTCAGGTGTTACCGTGAAAGCACTTCAAATTATGTTTAGCTCCATATTTAGTGTCAGGATTCATAACGGTTCAGTCTCAAGCAAAATATTTGAAATTTGAGTTCCGTTGGTTTCCGTTGGTTTCCGTTGTTTTTGATATTTTTGACTCCCCCATTTTGACTCTTCCAAAGGTCCCCTGTAATCCAAATAATTTTGATGTTTTATTATGTCACAGAATGTAGCAGAAATAAAACATTCAGATGATATTTGCTAGAATTTAAATGAACTGTAAATGCTAGGTGCCTTTGTTATCAGTCAGATATGTGTGTGAACTCCTCCTCCTGACCAAGGTCCCATTGAACCACGTGTGTTTACTTGTGGGCGAGTGAGTACATTCGTGTGTGTGTGTATGTAGGCTGGTGCGAGTGACTGCGGTCTATTATCTGGTTTAATTCGAGTGTTGTGATTTTAGGGCAGTTGAATCCAGGTCTTTGACTCATGATCGTCTTGTCAGGAAGTGTTGTGTATTCTCCTGGTCTCCTCAGAGCAAACATACAGGAACTGTATCACCGGTTACATTAACCATGGGCCAGTCTGGACACATTATGATAAGCAGGATGTGATGTCACACAGAGGAAGCTACTAAAATGGATTGTCTGTTTGAATATGTGAGGGCTGGAATTTGTGTCTGAAATGTGTACCAAAAGATTGACAGTGACAACGTGGATTTAACGTTTTGTTGACGTCCTTTGGACCCACCGAAGTGTATGTGTGCTTTGCACTTTAGTGCTTCCGTCAGATCATTGTTTCTGTTTTTAGAGGGCCGTTTGAGCCCTGAACTATTGAGATCAGCGCTGGCGTGTACCTGCTGGCCCTTCTTCAGAAAAGGTAGGAGAGGAGCTCAAAATGAACTAAAACTAAGTTAAAAACTACTATAAAATGGATCTTTTGCACTTACCGGTTGTTTCACACTGATTTAATTTCCCATTTGCAGGGATTATTGTGTTGGTGACCTTAATTTAGTTTGACGTCATATCATTTTTCGAGTTATTTATAGATTAGGTAGGTATTATATACCAGCATCTCTGTGGAATGCTTGAAACTGATTGGTGAAATAATTAATGATGTCCAAGGCCACTGACCACTTATCTGCTTTGTTCAGGGTTTATTTTACAATAATGACCATGTAGGCTTATCCTCACCAATATGCTTAGCTGTTAACCATCGTAATAGAGCTGCAGACAAATCGTGGGAATGTTTTGAGCTGATTTAGCTGACGTGAAACAGTCAGCCATTGTGGTGTTGACCTTGCGGCTTTGGAATACCATCGTGGATTGTTGTACTTGAAGCTTTTTTGGCAGAATATCTGACATTATCATAGTCCCCAAGGCCACTCGACTCGTCTGGCATGCCTGCAGGAGACATCTGTCCCTCTGAGGTGTTGGTGTCTGGACCTTTTCCTTTATTTCCAACCTCCTGTTAGTGTCTGCAGCATCCTGCTGTAAATTTTGCTCTGACAGTTAAATATTGTGCTGATCAGACCTTCAGCTTTATCAGCGTTGATCCAAAGCTTTGGAATTGCCTCGCTGCCGTTCATTGCCTCAGTAGTTGTGTTAAGGTGACACCTCTGAAGCGAGTCGACTAAAAGCTTTCATTGTCTTGTCAGTGTGTTTTGATTTATCTATGTGTTTTTTTCTTCTTTCTATTCTGAACAAGAATATTCACTAAAGCTGATAGTTCAGCCATTTACTACAGCTTTCCAATACACAAAAAATAATAAATTGTGGATGTTCCTGCAAGCTTTTTCCATTTGATTGATTATCAGAACCAATGATAATGGGGGCTTTCACACCGGATAGTTCTAGGAACTTAGTTCTAGGAACTAGCCACTAGGGTGGTTCCCCGAGAACTAATGGTTCCCCTAGGAACTTTTTCCTGGTTGTTTTCTCACCGCCAGTAGGAACTCTGAAGTGACATAAGCCGCGCTTGTTGTGATTTTTTTGACGGCGCTGAGAACGCCAGAGTGCACACAGTGCTCACATTCTCTGTGTTCATTAGTTTACGATATGTCTAACAGTCCTCTATAATACGCTTAGACAGAACTGTTATACATAGAAAGTAGACAGTAATGAAAAGTTATTGGCGTGTGCCATCTGGTTGATGTCCAGTATCGCTAGCTGAGCAGAAATACATAATCATGTTTGGCTTGGTCCCCTCAAAGTTGCGTTGGATTTTCTCCTCAGCGTAAGGGTTAAGAGGCCCATCTATCACTGTTTTCCATGTTAGTCGAGTTCGTTTCTGGAGTAAATATATAGGCTATAATCTGTGTTTACACTGCCTTTTTAAAAATGGCAGGTGCTGGTGTTTCGCTTGCGTTCGGCCAATCAGCGTACACTTACGGCTCAGATAGTTCCTATAGTGCTGGGTTAGACCCTACTCTGAAGTAGGAGCTAAATTAGTTCCTCCAAAAGGAGTTCCTAGAACTAAAATCGTTCCTGCGGTGCGAACAGGGCAAAAACCTGGGTACTTTCTCCAATAGTTGTAGGAACTATGAAAAGGTTCCTCCGGTGCGAAAGCCCCTATTATAATAATCAATTGTTCTGTAACGATAAAGGATCTAGACATGTTTCTTATAATAATAATTGTAACACTTTTCAATATTAGTTCACATCAACAAATGTAGTTAATTAATTTTAACAAATGGAAATATTTCATTATTTATAAAATATATATATAACTTTGTTCTCTGCAGAATATGACAGACAGTTAGCACCCACCAAAGCCATGGCAGCGGCTTACCTGGACCCCAACCTGACCCATGCCCTGAACCAGGGGGTCAAGCCTCGCTTCAGCGCAGGGATGGAGCGGACAGCAGGGCCTCTGGAGCGTGTGCTCAGAGTCTTCCACTACTTCGAGAGCAGTAGTGAACCCTGCACATGGTCCAGCAACATCCGACACGGGGACTCAACTGATGTCAGGGTGAGTCTGCAGATCAACTGGGTCACCCACTAATTTGTTCTCCAGCATACAAAATACAAAACTTTTAGGGATGACCATATCGTTTTCATCCAGGAGAGAGAAATGCAATGTCATGGTCTTATTGAGACTGATAATATTAGGGTTAGGGTGTTATATTATTTAATGGGGGGCTATTCATATTTGGTAAAAAACTGAAATTGAAATTGTTTACATTATATTATGTTATTTAGTAATAAATACTATATATATATATATATATATATATATATATATATATATATATATATATATATATATATATATAAAATTACTATATATGCAACTTAAATGTTAAATTATTATATAACATTAACTGCCATTTATAAAATAAGTATTATTCATTGTTAGTTTGCCTTTTACACTAGTTTCACACATACACACAGTTCAAGGCGTTTTTATTTTATTCTGGGATGCGACACCACAGTTCATCCTCCCAGTGTGAATGCTGTAATCGGTTAATGTCAGCATATGTGATGTGAATCCGGTGTTACACTTGCCTAAGGTAATGGTTGAAAAGTAGTTTAACCAACAGCAAGCAGATATTGTACATAATCGTCCAATTGTTGTGTGCAAGAATGCTGGATCTACAGAGAACAGTCAAATAAATGCAAATATGCATACATAGAATGTATGTCGACTGTAGAGAGCATGTCAATACGAAAACAAAGCCAAGATATTTGAGAAAAGTTGGAAATCCTGGCTGGATGCTTTAATTTCCGAAAAAAGAGGACGTATGGTCACCATGTCGTCGAATTCTGTACACTATGTGAGCTTTTCTTCTTCTTCTTCTTCTTCTTATCTTTTGCCTTAAAAAACATTGCAAAAACATGATATAGATTAATTTCAGCCATCATGTTGGTTCTCATCCATAGCATAAAAATAATCCATATTAAGATAAGTAAGATACACCATTGTTAGGCATGGCCATTGGAAAATTAATGTTATTGGTATCAGGCAATATTTTTTTTATTATTCAATAATATTATTTTCTTTCAAAAACTAGCAATATAATTACAGTCATATTGTCATTATTAAATGCAAACAGACAATCGATAGGTCATCATATTAGTTTTTTGATAAATCAGTAAGTATTGTTTCATTTATTACATGCTTTCCTTATTGTTAAGAGGACTATTTTCAGTTATGAAAATTATTTATTTGCGATGTTTAATTGTTGTTTTTGAACTTAGTATAAGTCTTATTAAAAGGTTAGTTCACCCAGAAATGAAAGTTCTGGCATCATTTACTCACTCTAATGTCGTTCCAAACCCGTAAGACTTTTGTTCATCTCTGGAACACAAATGAAGATATTTTTAATGAAATCTGAGAGATTTCTGTCCCTCCATTGACAACTACCACTTTGACGCTTCAGACTAAACCGCTTGATACATATGGATTCCTTTTACGATCTTTTTGAATACTGATTGATACATCTTATCGATGCATTTGTTTTATTGATACTGACACCACAAACATTCCTGTGTAAGACTAAAGATGATACTTCCTCTGAGCTTTCTTGCTTTTCAGCATTATTCAGAATACAGCTCTCCGTGGCCTAGAACACTCGTGGTAAAACCCCCTCAGACAATGGTATGCTACTCTAAATTATTTAATGAGGTTGGTTTTTGAAGCCAAGTAGCCGTTGTTGCTTCAAAGCGTATTGTCCCGCTTTCATCCCTCACACATCTGCCATCGTCTCAGTTTTATGCAGGTTCACATCTGATGCTCTTTTGTCGTATCAGGTCTGAATACCAAACCTGGCCCACACTAAATCGACAACTGCCACAGAAATGTCACATTTACACGCACTAATTCAGTAAATGAAATCGATTGAAGTTGACATCTCAGATGTAATCTGTGTGAGTTTATTCAGGTGGTTTTAGTGTGATAAAGCCCTATGATTTATCCATGTTTTCCCATTTTTTAAAATGTTATTTGTTTTTTTTTTAGACGTGCTATATTATGTAGTCCGATGTCTGTTAGTAAATAGAAAAGATAATGGCCATGAAATATAATTCATCACACACTAATGTGACTTATCAGTTATTTCCTCATGGCTCATGCATTTTGCAATTTGCATAATAAATTAAATAACAGTTTTTCCATCCTGTTAGACATCATATATTATGCTGCAGCAGACATTTGAACATCCTGCTCTTTCTTGCTCTCATCCATCTCCTCTCTCACAATCTCACAAAACCAAAGAACTTACTGACCCCGTAATATGACACATTGATCAAAGAAAGATTCAACTGAAACTCTTCTGGCTTTGAACCGTTTCCTTCAGAATATTCTCTCAGATTCACTGAGATGTGTCCTGCTTTGAATATTTTAGAAACTCTATAGGGTACTATATGTTGTCACCAAATTGTTGTTTGTGTTTTTCAGGGCATTATACAGAAGATCGTGGACATCCATAAGGTGAGGTGTGTGTCCTGCTTTGGTCTGCGCCTTTGCCAGCTGAGAACAGGTGAAGTTCATTGGCTCCACCCCGACATGGGCGTGTCTCATGTGAGGGAGCGGTACGAGCACAGCCATCCTCAGGACGACTGGAGGTGAGTCACTGTTTTAATGCCGATATCATAACCATAAAAGCAATATTATGACTCGGGGACACATGGCCATTGACCTGTTTCCCCTTCTCAGTGGCTGCCATGTTGAGATCATATGGCCAGCTGTGTCGTGTAGTTCTACTCGGTTAATACAATTACAGTTCAGGGCAGGTCCATCTGTTTTTCAACCAATGACAAATAGGGAGAGTGTTCGGAAGTTTTAGGTTAAACTGGGGTCACTAAAGTTTGTTTAATGTTTTTGTAACAATATAAATGTCTCTATACGATCACGTTTTATCTTTGCTGAATAAAAGTATTAATTTCTTTTAAAAAAAAAATCTTACTGACCCCAAAGTTTTGAATGGTAACGTATTTGAAAATAAAGATTATTTGAATTTAAATTTCATTTGGTGACACTAGTAGGGCATAAATTAGTTGGCCAATATTTGTCCATTTTGTGATTTTCATCATTTTTTGGTGAAAACTAATAGTAGTGTGTGTGTGTGTAAACAAATATATATTCTTGTTTTTTTTTTCATTTCAGAATGAAATCCTTGAATTGTAAATACTGTATGTCAACATTATAGTGGCCACCTTACTTTTTAGATATCTGTATAACATTGGCCTTTGAAAAATTTGTATTTTAAATCCGAATGTTTTTTACTTTTTACTATTTTACTTTGAATATGCTCTCATCAACTAACATGTTTTTTCATATGCACTTAAAAATAAAAAAAAGCAGAATTATGTGCTTTCTGCAGAGGAAGTAACCACAAGCTTTAGATTCTGACAGGTCTATGTTGCCGCACAGGGGCTTTGTAAAGTGTGCCATCACTTATTTCTGTAATCCCTTACTGCTTTATGTTTCTGTCTACAATACAATCAAAACATCTCTGAGATGGCACATCGTTGACATCTGACACCACTGTGGTGCTGTGGCACATTATTAACTCTTATATTATAAATATAATTTTCTTTTAGGGCTATTGAATGAAATGATGATGGTTCAAGCCTAAGAAAGGTTCAGAAAGGTGTTAAATTATGCAAACCTTCCCATGTTTCATTGTATAAGACATAACTCCTGTTCCAAAATCTTTATATCCAATACGTACTTTGAATATGTGGGTCATGTCTGTTTTTTTAGTATGACACAGCATATTCACTCCGCTAATTCTTTACAACAGAGCGATATGCAGTTCATATTTAGAGGATGAAAGAATGCTATAATGGCTTATGTATAATTCATTCAGTGGGGGTGGATAATTCTGCATCAGAATGAGGTTGACCCAGTGGGCGGAGCTTCAGAATGAATGTTGCTAGTCGTAGTGAGTTTTATCTTAATGAAGCTAAACAAAGCAGTCCCTGCTTAATTGCTCTATTGTTTATATTCCATTCACGCAGCCCGAGGCTTGTTTCACCCATCTTCTTTCTTCAACCGTTCATTATGTATGAATGGGCTTTTTATGCATTTACGGGGAAGTCCGCGGTTCAAAGGATGAGCTGGATTCTGTTCGCCCTCCAGCATGTCTTTATAATGAAAAACAGAGCTCTGATAATAAGTTCAGCATTTGCTTTAAAGCAAGACATTTTACCCTCTGCAAATGGAGATCAGCAGGTTAAATTCCTCCTTTTTACTTTCTGAAGAAATGGAAAAGAAACAGACTTGCAGGCTACCTCTTGTTTTTCATGGTCTATGATCGTGTTTCCCACATGGAAAAATATTATTCACCACAGCCGAAATTACAGTGATAAACTGATCTAAACCAGAACTTCAAACTGGTTCTATTTTAATAATAACATTGGTATCTGTGCTAGTATATCACAGTGCTAGTGCTAGTATTGGAATCTGTGCTAGTACATGTAGGAAAATGTTTCTATGCTGATTGGCCTGATTGTAGAGGGACAACATTTCTACAATGTTTATGAGACCGACGCTGAGGCAAAAACACTAATGTTACACAAATTAATTAATTTTGCACTACTCAGGAATTTCATCAAAACCAGAAAGAAATGTTGACTTTAACTACCCTAAAACACACTTTTATATAGTATTATACAAATAGTGTGTGTATAAAATATAAGTAAAATACAATGTACATTCACACATTTTCATTTTATGTGTACATTTCTGACCTTTTTTTCATTATATATTCATAATTTATTATTATTATTTTTTTAAATGACTTAAAATTTGGTTTCCTACACTTAGGTGATATTATGCAAAATGCTGAAGCATATGCACTAAACTTAAAGGGTTAGTTCAACCAAAAATGAAATTTCTGTCATTGATTACGAACCCTCATGTCGTTCCAAACCCGCAAGACCTTCATTCATTATCGGAACAGAAATGAAGATATTTTTGATGAAATTCGAGAGGTTCTGAACCAGCCATAAGCAGCAACGTCATTACTACCTTTCAGGGCCTTGAAAGTTGCAAAGACATCGTTAAAATAGTCCAATTGACTACAGTGGTTCAACCTTAATGTTATGAAGTGACGAGAATACTTTTTGTGCTCAAAAAACAAACAAAATGAACAACTTTATTTAACCATTTCTTCCCTTCCCTCTTCGACTCATGTAGCTTATATATATATATATGTAGAATAAAGTCAAATGAGGCTTTTTAAACAAAGTGACAATAGTTTAAACAAAACTATTTGAAACTCATTCTGTCTTTATGTTCTGAGCATCATATCTGAGGCAGATGGCAGCAGGTTCCAGGTACATCATCCCCAGTCGATTTCGAGAACATAATTGTTTTGAACGTGCGAGGCAGGTGCCACAGCATTCTGGCTCGTTCTCAGGTAGAGAGATGTGTTGAACTAATTTAGCGTAATTGAGAGCAGACAGTGAGCCAGCTGTGAGAGAACAGGGTGTGATTTTTACCTCCCAGACAGACAGCTGCTGATACCACAGTAATTGTGTTGTCTGGCAGACTTTAGAAGATCATGTCTCACCGGCATCTCTAATCAGTCACATACGAGAGGGAAGATGAGTAAACAGCTCCATAATCAGAATCATCATCGTTGTTAAAGATTCAGGACACACAGTAAAGATGTTCAACCTGAGGGCTTTATTTTCTGAAGCATCTGTTGTGATTGGTCAGGTTGTGTGAGAGCTGCCTTCAGAGCCGACGTCAGGTAGAGTTGACAGCATGTGTGTTTTGTTATTCGATCATTTCTTTCATTCTCTCTCTTCTCTCTCCAGATATGAGCTACGGATTCGATACTTGCCTAAAGGATTTTTAAACCAGTTTACTGAGGACCAGCCAACTCTTAACTACTTTTATCATCAGGTGATTAATAGTTTAATTTGGCAGCCTGTGTACTGCTGGCAAACCTTTTGTTAACGTTTCACCCCAAAATCAAAAAAGGTAGAAATTACACTATATTGTAGGCCTCATTGTCTTAAAGGGGTGGTTTACTGCTTTTTTTCTTTGCATGAGTGTGTTTATTGGGTGCAATATAACATGTCTTTGTGTGTTTATTTTTATTTTTTTATTTTTTATTTTTATAAATTTCACCTTTATTGTAAGCCGCTTTCTCCTCTGTCATTTGAAGACCGGTTGACTTCCTGATTCTAGAAAACCACTCCCTCAGAAACAGGCAATGGGCTCAGATTGGTTAGTTGGGCCGGTGTGTTGTAATTGGCTAAACTGCGTCGTGCACGTTGTCCGGAAACTTCACGCCCATTACCTTTACGAGCGAAAGTTGCATGTGCTGCGGTCAAATGTAAATAATGGTGTCAATACTGCCGTATCAGTTTGAGCCAGAATCAGACCCAGAAAGCGGCAATGAAGAGAGTCGAGCAGAACCTCCCCAAACACGGCTCTTACAAAACGTTTCTGAATGGTACTTTTTTTAAAATTCTATTCTGTTCTATTCTATTCTATACTACTATTATTATATAATAATTTCGATACGCTGTTACTTGAAAATGCTACTGCTGCTTGTTAGCTTTTGAGATACAGTTTTCTCCTGATTAAATAGGCTACATAATACATACAATACATAAAACCTGTAAACAAACCATACGGTACACTGATAACAGCTGAAGTTTGCTGTTGCGATTACATATAATTATTTGAACTTTATACACGTTTGTCTTATACACACAAAATAGCATCGAACTAACTGGCTACTATAAACAAACAGCGTTGGCATTACGTTCTTGATCAAATCGAAAAATTACGTCATAAAGTATACATGGAAAATACATTTACAAAATTACTACATAATTACAAATTCAGGTCCAAAATGTTTGTACGCGTTTGTCATAGACACACAAAATAGCATAACTAAGTGGCTACTAAAGCCAGCGCTGGCATTTGTTTACGTCCTTGATAAAACTAAATCATTACGTCTGAAATTATACATGCAAATACATTTAAAATGATTAACAGGTTGTGGCCCAACAACAGCTGCCTCTGGTTTTAAAGTTGGAACTGCTTCATGTTTTAGTAACAGTTTCTTGTTGAATCCGGCATTGAATTCGTGGAGATTCTGGAAGCTGTCTTCCGTAAAATGCACAGCACAGAGAGCTAAATTACGATTGTAATTTTCAGGAACATAATCAAACATACATTTTAGCCATTGTTGATGAACTACAGTGTCCGTAGTCCGTGGGTGAAAATAACACACTTTCGACAGCATGGATACAGCTCTCCACTATAACTCTTCCTCTTCGACAAAGCCGCAGAAATATGGCCATGCCCCCTTTTTTGCATATTCCGTAGGGAGGGTTGATGTAAATTTATGGGTTAGTTACGTATAAAACCCGGGAAGTATCTCGTTGTAGTCCCATTCGAGTCGTTTTTGTAGGCATTAAACTTCCTGATTTTTAAAAGACGATATCTCTGCTTACTTTGAACTTTCAGCGCAGCAACTTTGCAGACACTGTTCATGCACCAACAGCAACATTACACACTTTTTAAAATGAAAAAAGTGAAATCGCGATCAACCACCCCTTAATACAATAATAATGTAAAACTAAGTACTCCCACGCTCTAAGTACACTACCAATTCTCAGTAAGGAATTGCAAAATAATAATAATAAACAAAGTATTTTGGTGTTATTTGTTGTACACCTTTTAATTTATGCAGATTATAATTTCAAAAAAGATAATTATATTATAGATGTTTTTGCAAAAATGATAAAATGTCACAATGCAAAAATGTAATGGTCGTACAATAGGTATAATTTTCTTTTATGTAAATTTTTTTGTGTATTTTTTTATTTAATTTCTTTCTTTTTTATTATTATTTTGGGGTGAAATACGTGAGATTATTTTGGGGTGAAATTTATATTTTCATGAGATTCACCCACATTGAGTGATTGAGTGGTGGTTTAGTGTTCAAGGCTCAGGGTCCATAACTGGTTTGATCACTGCCAGGTTACAAAGATCAAACCATGAGCTCACAAACATTGTAAAACGCTTAAATGACAAGTGACTGGCCTTGGTATAAGTTCATGTCTCTATTCTATGGTACCATCACATGAAAGTTGCACAAACCCATTCCACCTGGTCCTTGTGTGACGATCTATACAAAAGAAATGAAGACAAACGAATTACAAATAGCATGGATTGAGAGGAAAGTACTGCTTCATCAGTTATCCACCTTCATTATTTTTTCACTAATAGCAAATTAGCTCTATATTATTGTGTTTCTTGTAAATTGAAATTCATCATTGTCTAATTTTTTATTTATTTGACACGCAAATATCGGTCTGGTGAGGAGGCGTGAAATTATCAATTCTGTCATCATCCATCCTGTACAGTCAGTATCACCTTGTGTCTTTCTCCTTGCCTTGCCTTGCCTAGACTAATATTTCTCTGTATGCCCAGGTGAAAAGTGATTATATGATGGCGATTGCCGATCAAGTTGATCAAGAATTAGCACTTAAACTTGGCTGCATTGAAATCAGGTATGTGTGATACACATCTGTTTTTAACATAATAATAGGAATATGTTTCTTGAGCAGCAAATCAGCATATTAGAATGATTTCTGAAGGGTCATGTGACACTGAAGACTGGACACAGAAAGCTGAAAATTCAGCATCGCCATTACAGGAATAAATATTAAAATATAATAAAACAGAAAAGCGTTATTTAAAATTGTAATAACATTTTACAATATTACTGTTGTTCAGTATTTTTTAAATGTAAAAAAAATACTATCTACATTTACACTGTATTATCAAATGAATGCAGAGTTAGTAAGCATACGAGGCTTCTTTCAAAAGACAGTAAAACAAAACTTACCAACCCCAAACTTTTGAATGGTAATGTAAATGTAAGTGATTTCCAATGACTTTTATCAATTAAGGATTGAATTCAGACAATTCACTTTCCTCTTCTCTGTTTCAGGAGGTTTTTCAGGGACATGCGTGGTAACGCCCTGGATAAGAAATCAAATTATGAATTATTAGAGTAAGTACTGCTGTCTATGTTTAGATCATTAGTATCCAGTTCTAACCTTGTGCCCATATTTAATTATGTGACTATCTTCAGACAGAATCTGTTTTTATTGAACTTGAGAAATTTTGGTCCAGTTAGCTTTGATGTAGGTGATTTCTGCATCAGGTAGTTAGTGAGAAAGTTAAAAATAAACTGTACACTGTCTTCCTGTTCTCCTCGTCCTTCTTCAGAGGTCTGCTCGTGTCTGTTGGGAAGAGACACGAGCGGTCAATCGGACAGGAAAAGAAATTGGAAGAAATAGAATTACAAATGTGTGATATACAGGAGCAATTTAAGAAATATTCACTGTTGTGAATGTGAAATAAAGTTGCAATTACCAAAAATGGGCTTCCGTAGGGAAACTTGGTATGACACCACAAAAAGAAATGGCTTGCAAAATGCAGCACTGCTTGTTGCTGTCACTATTAACTTGCTCATCACTTTTTTATTTTATTTAATGTGTTAAAATTAAATTCTGATCAGTTCTCATATTACACATATTATCATATATAGAGCACTGTTACCTTATGATGTAATGCTATGTATTTCAAAACAAGCTCATACTAGACGGAAAGGAGTTCTCTAGGTCTTAGAACCATTAGAGTATTTCTCTCCATCTCGTTTTCTTTCAGATTGTGTGTATATGGGTCAGAATAACTAGCCCGTGTTGCATGGCCCTCTGAAACCCGTCTGATCTATTTTGAGTAGAGTATAATTGATCTCTGCGTATCTCCTGCAGTGGTGCAGCGGCTTCATTACTGTAGTGTTTACACTGGAAGAGACAATAACCTCAGCCTCAAACAAGTTGCTGTCTCATTGGGTTTTTACCCTGAGGTTTTACTGCCTTTGAAAACTGAAGTCAGTGTCTTTCTGTATTCTCTCCCTGCAGGAAGGACGTTGGTCTACGGAGATTCTTTCCAAAGAGTTTATTAGATTCAGTAAAGGTAAGACATTTCTGATGCTCCTGCGATGACTTCCTCAAAACGGTGGTTGTCTTGATTTATTGAATGTGAGAAAATGCTATTGTTCAGGCAAAATCAATGTTATTACCTACCCCTGCGGTCTCACACCCCTGAGATGATTTGGCCCAGTTCTGTTCTCTCTCTCCCCCCCTCTCTCTCTCTCTCTCTCTCTGAAGAAGCCACTGAAGGGAACCGTTCTAATGAAATGCAGTTTGCCACAGAGCCAGTTTGCTTTTCCACCTGACCTACCTAGTCCGTTTCAGTCTTCAGTATGCTGTGGCATGATGTCTACTGTTATTTTAGCTGCTTGAACGACATTATTCTTAGTGAAAAATTCTATAAAAATGAATTGTCACGCGTTTATATTTTTAAAAGAATTACTTAAATGAAATGAATTACAAATTAATTAAAACATTTTTTTACATTTATTTAATTTATTTCTATTAGTAAATATATGTATTTTCTTTTATTTTTATATATGTAAAAAAATTGAAAGACAAAAAATATTTTAACATCCAAAAATTATGCAGTTCACATTTACATTTTGGGAGTTGGAATCTTCTGTGCTTCTTATTTTTAGTTACTGCTCATTGAATCATTGAGATCGTAGACTAAATTGCAATTCTATGTGTGTTTAAATGCATTTAAAAATTGAGGTTTAGAATGGGAGTAGCGTTTGTGTCCCCTAAGGGATTTCCCTTTTCTTTATTTAAGGGGATTTTCTGCATATTTTGTGGCTTTCGCTCTCCTTTTCATAGTTTACATTCTACCCCAAAGCAGCCCAAAATCGACACCTTTTCATTGGTTGCCATGGAAACCCAAGCCCATGTCAAGAGGGAAGAGAGAATTACCGACCAGTTTTGCGGATCTTTAGATTTTTCAAACATTCTGCATCTCTTATGGAGAGGACCCTTCATTCTAATTGGCTATTTATCATGTCTAAATAATGAATACTTTTTGATAGTGTTTGCATAATTTGACACACACAGCTTGTTTACACCATTAAAGATTCATTTGAAAGGGAAACTGTTTAAATTTAGATTATAAGACCCCCTTTTGAGATAGCTGTCATTATTCTACGAAGACGGTTTTATTTTAGCGATTTCCTTGGCTATGGTCTTAGTCTTGTATTGTGCCATCAAAATGATTGACATTCTCTCTGAAGAAATATTCATTTCGAAAATTCAGTTTTGAACGCCTTTTCCTTTTAAAGGATTCGAATGTCCCAGTTTGTTGAAATAAGGTTCTTGTTGTCTAACACCTAAAGGTGAAGTGTGTAATTTTTGCACCAAACAATTAGTCCCGCCCCAAATGTACGCCATTGGTTGAAACAGAGCAGTGTTTCACAGTTTACAATCTTTCTAAGTCACAAGTTGCTTAGAGTTGTCAATGCATATTAAACTCAGATAGGAAAAAGTCTTTAAAAAAATTAATAAAAACCTTTAAGGGATTGTAAGTAATAGCTTAATTTGATTACAAGTAATTGTGTTTTGTCTTTTCAGGCTAAATCCCTGCGGAAACTGATCCAACAGACGTTCAAACAATTCGCCAATCTGAACGATGAGCAGTGTATCCTCAAATTCTTTGAGATCCTGTCCCCTATATACAGATTTGATAAGGAGTGTTTTAAATGTGCTCTCGGGGTGAGTTGAGTTTAGATGTTAATTAATTCAATTCATTAAAATAGAGCCACAAGTTGTCTAATAACTCTCTTGATTAATTTATTATTTCTTTCTTGATGGTGACTTAATGGTCTGTAGTGCCCTCTGTTGGCTAAAAGATGAATATCGTCTCCAAATGTTTTTTTTATTTAAATGGATACAGCCTTTAATCATTCGTCAATGTGATTGTAAAATAAGGTTGCATTGTATTTATTAGTTTGTTTGTGTTTCATGAAGTGTTTGAGTTGAATGTGTCTGCTGTTGTGTGTGCTAGTCGAGCTGGGTGATATCAGTGGAGTTGGCCATCGGACCAGAGGAAGGCATCAGTTACTTGACTGACAAAGGCTCAAACGTAAGTACTGTGCAGTCCTATGGATGGGGGAATGAACTGATAGACATCTGTACAGCGTTTATTAAGTCTGTATCTCTTTGTGTAGCCAACACACCTCGCCAACTTCACGCAAGTGAAGAGTATTCAGTTTGAGGAGCGAGAGAGAAAGGGAATGCTGCAGTTAGATGTGGCTAGAGCACCTGAGGTAACACCCACACATTTTTCAGTGTATTATTTTGTCTTATATGTGGTTTTTGTACATGGATATAATGGTACAGTGTTCTTGTGCATTTCTCAGCCTCTGACGGTGACAACTACAACACTGAACACTGCGGAGAACATGGCCGATCTCATTGACGGCTACTGTAGACTTGTTAACGGAAGTTCCTCATCGTTTATTGTCCGTGTACAGAAAGGTGAGAACACAAACACATACATATACACACAAATACAGATCTCAGACAAAACAAGATACTCTACTGTTCAAAAGTTTGTGATTTAAAAAAAAAAAGAAATATAAGTAAGGTTTCATTTGTTAACGTTAGTGCATTAACTAACTATGAACAATATATTCTTACAGCATTTATTATCCATTATGTTATTTAATACAATTTTTCATGTTCATGCTAGTTCGCAGTACCATTAAACTAATGTTAGCAGATACAACTTTTGATCTTAAATGTATTAGTGAATGTTGAGATTAATATTCACTAAGATTAATAAATGCTGTATTGTTTATTGTTAACTCATGTTAACAAATGAAACCTTATTGTGAAGTGTTACCGAAATGAATACTTTGATTCAGCAAGGACACATTATATTGATCAAAAGTAATAAAAAAATATTTATAATGTAGGCTACAAATGATTTATATTTAAAATAAATGCTGTTTTTATTCCTATTCATCAAAAGAGTCCTGAATTTTTTTTTATTACGTTTTCACAAAAAATATCAAGCAGCACAATGTATTTAACATAAAATTGACCTTACTAATTAATAGATGCGCATCTGTTACTAGCATGTTCACTCATTAATTATCACATGAACTTCACTGGATTCACTTCCATTGTCACTCCTCATTTGCATAAAACACAGCTATTGCACATTGCAGAGTGGTCACTGTTGCTCATGTCTCCTCAAATCATCAAAACTCTGATTGAAAATGAAAATGATATTCCTTACTCAGTTTTTTTTTTGTTTTGTTATTATTTCTGTTTTGGTTTTCACATTTAAATTTTATTTGTCAATGTTTGTCAACAGAAGGAGAGAGAGCTCTTCCATCTATCCCAAAGGCTCCAAAGTAAGTTTATACCCACAGTTTGTCATTAGATAGACTCAGCTCCTCTTACACACTCTGTTCTTGCTCCTTTGGCTTCTTTGGCTCAGACATGTGGAATCTCTCAGTGTACCCTCAACTAATGTGACGCGCAGCCCAGCTCCCATTAATGTGATTGTGGTAGTGCCCATCTGTTATGTCATCCTCCCTGCACATGCTAATGGAACAGACCGGCACAGTGGCTTCAGTGTAGAAAAGGTCATGCTGTGATTTAAGTTTGATTGAAAATGTACATGATTCATCTTCTTCAACCTCTGTCACACAGATCAGCAAACCATGAGAAACGGTTGCAAGGAGTCAAGGCCAAAGCAATCTCCATTTCAGGTAAGACTTATCCAAGAGGACGGCACTGTGACCTTTCATTTTCATTGATAATGAATTTAATCCATAACTAATTCCAGCCATGTTCTTTGAACCTCTGATGTTTTCTGGAAAGCCTGTTGAGATCTCATTAATTCTAAGTGGTTCGAGTTGAAATGAATGTGGTCGAGTCTGTTGCTCTGTATCTAAAACTCCTCAAAACCCTTCAGTTACTTTCTAAACCTTCTCCAACTTACTTTTGTGTGTAGAATGTCCCCACAAGGACGGGGACCCGAAGTCTCCTAAATTACAGTGGTCAATGTTCCTCACAAGGAAATGTCTTAATAAAAATACAAAAAGGTTTGTTTTACGGGAAAGAAAATGTCATTATCTCAGTGGAAGAGCAATAGAGATCACTAGGAAGTCCCTCACCATGATAGTGCATGTGTATTTAATATAATCTGAAGCTTTTTTCAAACACTTCCTCTTGCTAATAATGGTTTGGGGCTTTGTTTTATTGCATTGTGTAACAGCCATGAAATACTCTTTTGTGCTGTTGCCTCTCCTTCTGATTATGATAAAAACATTAATCTAATGCTTTCTCTTTCTCTCTGTCTCTCTTAAATCTTTTGCATGCTGATTGGATCCACAGATGATATTGGTGGGGATGGTAAAGTCCAATTTTGTCTTATTGCTGAATTGAGCGGGCTATTCACAGTATATTATTATGAGTCATCTTGATCCGTGTGATTTTGCTGACAACAAAAAATGTGAATGCGTCAATGATTCTAATGTGCATTTAAGTTTCCCATAGACTGTCAATTCACTAGTTTTAGAATATAGAATATAACTTTAAGATATATGATCAATTTAAACTTCAGTCGCAATAAAAAAAATATGAAATGATTCATTTGCGCCATCATTCTTAAATGTTCAAAAAAGTCTCTACATGGCATTTTTCTTATAACAAAATGTTGTAATAAAAATATATTTAGGTAAGAATTGCTATTTATTACTATGTATTTAACTTTTTTTTTTTAACTACATTTTTAACTTTTCAACAATGCCTGTTTGGTGAAAATTATGGTTTCTTTTTTGTTTTTTACAATTTTAGAGCAAAAGATATATTAATATTATCAAAAGGCTGAACAATATCAGTTATTTTAATACATTTAAATATTTTTTTATAAAGTTTTTTTGTTGTTATATTGACCAGCCATATTGCCTCACCTGAACTCCCAACCATTTGTATTTGAACTTATTAGCTCAACACAGCAATATATTTTTCAGAGAATATTAAGTATATATCAAAGTGGGCTGAAGTTTTTCACTCAAGAAGAACTATTTGCTGAAGCCTGCTGCTCAGAAGACAAGTGAACAGGTGCTTCAGTGTTATCTTGTTCGATAGCACAGTTTGACTGCATTCAGCTTCATGTTATAGTCCTGTGAACTCCAGAAAAACAAAATACCTAGGTGTATCTGTGTGCTTACAGTGGAATTTGATGTTGTTTTGATCTCGTAAAACTATTCAGTTCAGCCATGTTGGAGACTTTATCTACTGAAAACACACATCCTTTTCTCTCACAGTAAAGGGAAAGTGTTTGCTCACAGCACTCCACTCGTGGGACTTCACTGACAGTCAATACAAGCTGTCAAAATCTGTTGACTTTCGCTGCATTGCTGAGTAGAGAATATTTGACGTAACTTTTTCCTTAAAACCAGACACAATAGCTGTCAGATTACCCATGACTTCATCTGTTTTTCCCAATGACACCAATGCTTTAGAAAGAAATTCCCCCCTCACTGCCAGATGTACTCGCTCTTTAAACACACACTCAGATATCACAGCTGCGAGGATGTGATTGAAGCCAACTCAAATCTTGCAGAATACATAGACCTCCGAACACTTTTAAACTTAGCACTGTTAATGGGGAAGAGACGATGGAGTGTGTGAGTTGTGCCAGAGATGAGAAGACGTGTTTCTGAAGGGGTTTCTGGTTTTGGAAGCGCTGTTTTTAGCTGGTCCTGGTTCATTAGGACTTAAAATACTGTTTTCCCTTTTCAGAAACAGATGACTACGCTGAGATCATAGATGAAGAGGACACATACACCATGCCCTCCAGTGAGTATAACAGGTTTACACTGATCTCAGACCAGTATTATGGTGCTCTGGCTTGAAAATTCACTTTAAAACTGAGTCAATCAGCTAAAATTAGATCCTTTTTGTGTGTTTTGTCCACAAATATTAACTTGAGGAAATCCAAGGTTGTATATTGTGAAAATTTTAAATTTGACTTAAATTATTCTGCAGGGTAAACTATTGGTGTCATAAGTTGGTTCAGCTGTTATATATCGTAAAAAACATCCTTTAAAGCAAATATTCTGCAAATTTTCCTTACCTACTTTCCTATTATCTACCTGATTTTTGAGCATGCTGTTTGGGATCACAGACACAGACGCTCTTGAGACGTTTATAGATGCTTGAGTCGGTGTCGCTTTCTGCTTAGCTGTTCTTTTAGGTCTGAAACTGAACTCTGTAACGTGGCGTTCAGTTTTGTCTCTCCCTTTTTGTGCGCTTGCATCTCAGTCAATCATCATTTGCTCAGTGTGGGCTTGAATATAGGAAGTTGTATAATAACAACAGAACTAAATCCATGTATTGACCAATCCTGGTCACATGGACGCTGTTCCATGTGCTTATAGGACACAAGGGAAGCATTGAAATGGATATGATGTTGAACGCCTGTTTTATAAATAGAACAAACATTTAGCTATATCATATATTATCTTTTTTTAAATCTAACATACTTGTGTTTGTAACCCCACAATTACCTTTTTTTAGAATAACACACACACACACGCACACACACACACACACACACACACATATATATATATATATATATATATATATATATATATATATATATATATATATATATATATATATATATATAAATATAAATGTTTTTAAGCTGAAATTACGATGTTTAATATTAAATAAGCACCAGGCCGTGATAAGAAAACTTAGTGTTTGGTTTTTGTAAACATTCATTAAAATGTTCTTTATAAAAGGAAATAATTATTAGTTAATGTTGATCTTAATGTTATCCAGTGTTATATTTGCCACTTTGTTTTCTCTCGTTATTGGCACAACAGAATATTATGGACTAGATGAAGGTAAAGCTGTTTCTCCTGCTGTTTTCATTCCCTTCCCTTCCCTTCATATGCTTGAGACTTCATGTGTGATGGTGGGGCCTGTGTGTTTGTGTGCTTTTGCTTTGCCTGTCTGTGTTTCTTTTGGTTGAATCTTTATATCCTTATTTACTGATGTTTTAAGCAGAAATCATTGTTTTTTTTGGATTTACCCACATATATGCTTTTGACTGACACATTCAAGTTCCACTAAAAGGTGCTCCAAACTGGCTTTGACACTTTTACATATAAATGGCTTGTTCAGTAACTTTTTTTTTCTTTCTCTTGTTGATGAATAAACCTTGGTATATTTTCTTTACTGAGTCTTGTTTGCCTTTTTTGTTTTATAATTGTGTTTTAATGGCATGTATGGGATAGATTCTATATTGGAAAGCATATATGAACAGATTCAGATGGAGGAAAGAATTGCATGGTGTCTTGGTTATTTTTCTGAGTACATAGTGCAAAGTGGCCTGTGATAATCATAAATGAAATTATATTTTTAAGTGTTTGTTCACTGTAGGTCCATTTTGTCTTTCAGCCAGAGACTATGAGATCCAAAGAGACAGAATTGAGCTGGGACGCTGTATAGGAGAGGGCCAGTTTGGAGACGTCCATCAAGGGATCTACTTGTGTCCGGTATAAATTACTTGTTACATTTAATTTAATTATTTAAACAGTAATTATGTGAAATATTATTAGAATTTGAAATAACTTTTCAAAGTTTTTCCTGTAAAATTATTCTAAAATGATGATTTGGTGCTCATCAAACAAAGTGTTGAAAAAGGTGGTGCTTTAACGAATAGATGAACAGCATTTGTCTGAAATTATTATTTTTTGTTACAATGTCTTCACTGTAACTTTTGATCAATTTATTTCATCCTTACTGAATAAAAGTATTAAAGGGTTCACCCAAAAATTTCACTAAGAGATCGTAAAACTAATCCATATGAATTGAGAGGTTTAGTCCAAATTTTCAGAAGAGACAAATGCTTTAAATGATGAACCGATTTAAATTTTATTTAACCGATTTTATTCACATACTGTATATAAGATATGGTAATCTCATCTGTACTTGCTTAATGCGCGAGAACAAACTTCATTTGTTCTTGCAGAAGCTGAATGAATAAACCTCATTGGTTCTCGCATGTCAAGCGAACATGTCCGTTTACCATATCTGATGTGTGAGTAGATGAATGTTTATACAGTATGTGGAAAAAAAGCCTAAATTGAATATGTTCATCATATAAAGCGATTATGTCTCTTCAGAAAATTTGGATTAAACCGCTCAGTTCATAAGGATTAGTTTTACTGAAAAAGTCTTGCTGACCCTAAACTTTTGAGTGGTTGTGGATATTAGATATTAAAGGTACAGTCTTAAATTAAGTATAATTTTCACACTGTGATAGGAAATATGATGTCATATGAAACGGGAAGCTGTGCTAAAGCACTTATTAAATACTAGTTTTTTGTTTCTTTTTTGTCGTCAGGAGAACCCAGCACTTTCTGTGGCAATAAAGACGTGTAAGAACTGTACCTCGGACAGCGTTCGAGAAAAGTTCCTCCAGGAGGCCTGTGAGTGTAAAATCTCTGATACCCAGCAGCCCATAACAGCACTGAATATCTGCGTCATTCACATGGCTGTGTTCGTCAGCCTTAAATTAAGAGGAATGTGTTTTGGTTAGTTGGTGCGGAAACTCCAAACATTTTCAGAATGTGGAGTTTGTAAGAGCACAGCTGTTGGCTTTTGTACACTTGAACAGGTGCTGGTATGAGTGAGAGTGAAGGAAAGGTCAGGCACTAATAAAAAGGACATGATGTTTTTACCACCGCTTTTATAGATCCTTCACAGATAATTAGATTTAACTGTATAATTCAGTTTTGTCTGATTTAGATACACATGGTGCACATCCTACTATTCTGAATATCACCTAGTAATGTCATACCACACTTATTAAAGGATAGTTAACCCCAAAAAATTCTGTCATCATTTACTTACACTCAAGTTGTTCCAAACCTGTATGAATTTCTTTCTTCTGCTGAACACAAAAGAAGATATTTTGAAGAATGTCGGTAACCAAACAGTTGATGGGCCCCATTGACTTCCATAGCCTTTTTTCTCCATACTATGGAAGCAAATGGGGCCTCATATCACAAAGTTTCACTATGTATAAATGAGTAGTTCTCATCTGGTTTTGCCTCAGGACGCAGATTTTACTTTAAGCAACATGTTGTGACCTAACACAATATTAAATTTTTAGGAGACGATATACAAAAGAAATGCACTTAAAATAAAAAAAATGTTGTACATACTATGCGAGAAATATATTGTTCTTTCATTGTGAATGCAACAACAAATATGTACACTACCGTTTAAATTTAAGTTTAAAAGACCAAGGGGCTGCATTTATCTGATCAAAAATACAGTAAAAACGGTAATATTTTGAAATATTATTACAACAAATAATAATATTATAGAAATAATATAAATATAATATAATATAAAATATTTTTAAATATTATTTATTCCTGCAATGACAAAGCTGGATTTTTAGCTTCATTACTCCAGTTTTCAGTGTCACATGATCCTTCAGAAATCATTCTAATATGCTCAAAAAATATTTCTTATTATTAGCAATGTTGAAAACCGAACAGCAAAAGAACAGCATTCATTTGAAATAAAAATCTTTTGTAACATTATAAATGTCTTTACTGTCATTTTTGATCAATTTGATCAATTTTACTGAAACTTGTACCCGAAACTTTTGAATGGTAGTGTATGTTTTTCATAACAAATGCAGTTATACTGTATATGCTGCAGTATGCCCTGCTGAAATGTCATAGCAGTGATGTTGGTCTAATTTTGTCTCTCTGTGTTCCTGCAGTGACCATGCGACAGTTCGATCACCCGCATATTGTTAAGCTGATTGGTGTCATTACAGAAAACCCAGTGTGGATCATCATGGAGCTGTGCACACTGGGAGAGGTGGGACTTTTTTTACTTATGGCAGGCAATCTGGGTTATGTGTAGCAGTCTGCATTGGGTTTGGGGAAGGGGTTTGAACACGTCATAAATGTCCAAGGGAACATGTCTTCTCAGATGATTCAATCCAACTGAGACACTGTGAACGAGGGTAAATGGGCTTTCTGATGGGAAACTGTTACCTGCCAAACGGCTAAAAACTCTCTAAAGTCTCTACAGGGGTTCTGCATTAACATAAAGCCCTATTTACACCCGGTGTTAACATCTGTCTTGGGTGATCCGATAAAAAGCGAACAGCTAAGACACATGCTGTTCACATCTGGGGCCTGATTGAGAAAACATTCTTTAGAGTAACTCTAACTTTAAAAAGGACTGATTTTATTTTGATTCCCAAATAGGAATGTTCTTATCTTTTTTCTTAAAGGGATAGTTCACTCAAAATGGAAATTCTGTCATCATTTACTCATGACGTTCCAAACCTGTATGACTTTTGTTCTTCTGTGGAACACAAATATATGAGCTATCCCTTTAAGATGGTTGTTAAGGCAAAACTTGTTTGTTCTTACAAATCATTGTAAATAACTTAAAGTTAGAATAACCTCCAGCTTGTCTTAAATCTCCAAAGGTAACATAATTATTTGGTTTATGTTCATTTATTTGTTTTAAATATTAGGCATTTCGATTATTCGAGCAACTATATAAAAACAAATTTATATGCAAATTTCTCATGATCTACATGTTTATTTCTGACACTTTTAGTGAATTGTATGTTGCAGCATACAACCAGACAGACATAACAAGATATTCCATTAAGTTTTGTGCATATACTGTATTGCATGTAAAAACTTAGTTTAAGTTAAATAATTTTACTCATTAATTCACTGGGGGTTTTTTTTTCAGACCATCACTAAATGTGGTTTGAGTAATCACAAAAAAATATTTGAACCTTGTTTACACCTCTATTTAAAGCTGACTACTTGTGATGACCACTTAAGCTGTGATTTCTTAAACCTGTGTGCTGATGTCACAGTTGTGGGAGGAAAAAAACATAGTAATGCAAAATGAGAAACTCATGGATATAGGCTGTGGTTTCCTGTGACCTGTACAACAGCTCCATCTAAAGTTCATCGTTGGTTTTAACTCTGACCGTACTGTATATGTTAATTGTTAATTAATGTAGTTCAATTTGCTCTGCATTTGCATAATATTTTATTTAATTATTTACTGATATATTTATGCATTTTTTTTTTCTCCCTCTTTTATTTTTTCAGTTGCGTTCGTTCCTTCAGATTAGGAAGTACAATCTGGATTTAGCATCACTTATCCTGTTTTCTTACCAGCTCAGCACAGCCCTTGCGTACCTAGAGAGCAAACGCTTTGTACACAGGTAAGTGTCCACATCTTGCAAACTGGTGTCGTAGTCATCACTTCCCTTTCCTGTTGAATGTTTTTGCAGGAAGGATCAGGAGCCTCATCTAGTTGTACTCCTGCATGCATTATTTATTTTACTGATGTTGTACTGATAGTCTGGATATAAGGCAGTTCTTAAATGTGTCTACTTTCTTACCTAATGTTTTTTTTAGGGACATTGCGGCACGTAACGTTCTTGTGTCTTCAGTGGACTGTGTGAAGCTGGGAGACTTCGGGTTGTCTAGATACATGGAGGACAGCTCTTATTATAAAGGTATGAAGGCACTGACGACATGTGTCCACAAAAAGAAACAGTGGCAACAGAACAAACGGAGAGCAAAATGGTGAATGTAACAAGCTCATACAATACCTTTTAACAAACATAATTAAGTGTGAAAATTTAAGAAAAAAAAAAATGTATTTACTAAACTAATTAAGCCTATATATATATATATATATATATATATATACATACATACATACTGTATATCTGTATCGGCAAGTACCAAAATATCATCAGTATCATACTCGTTCTGGGAATGTATATGAAGAGTTCAGATGCAAAAGCCTCTAAGTGCCATTTGAAATTTTCTTCTAGAATGATAATTTTTATCAAGCTTGTATATTTAAGGTAAGTAATTTCACTTAAATAGCATTCTAGAAGAAAATTTCAAATGGCACTTAGAGGCTTTTGCATCTGAACTCTTCATAATAGACTATGTATGTATAGAATGTATATACATGTATATAGACTATTTAGATCAATGCTTGATCATCAAGCAATTTTCAGAAACGGGTGCAGTTGTATTATTTTTTTTCAGATTATTTTAAAATATGAGAAACAACTGCCTATTCCGAATTTATACACTGAAAAAAATATTGTTTCAATTAGCCATCACAATTAAAATATTTGCGTTAGAATAACTTTCCTGGATTTAGCTTGAGAACTCAAATATCCAAGTTGTCACTTAATACAACTGCACATTAATATTCTGTCATGTGCCATCACATTTATTTGCCTTAAAGCCCATTTTCTGACAAAAAGTGTTTTCAAACTGATTTTTGCAACATTTTAAGTATTGATATTGAATTTATGCGCTAAAGTTAATCGAAAAGGATTTTGTTGACACTTGAGAAATTCTATCTATAAATGATATTTCCATTCACTGTATCAGTAACCGTTTTTGAAGTGCTGAACCTTTTCTTTCTTTTTTTTGAAAAAAAAAAATCATTGGATGAAAACTTGGCTAGTAAAAACATTTATAATGTTACAAAAGATTTTTATTTCAAATCAATGCTGTTCTTTTGACTTTCTAGACATCAAAAAATCATGAAAAAAATCAAGAAATTTGTTTTCTGCAAAATTGATAATAAGAAATGTTTCTTGAGCACCAGATCAGTACCAAAATTCAGCAAGGATCATGTGACGCTAAAGCTTGGAATAATGGCTGCTGAAAATTCAGCTTTGCCATCACAGGAATAAATTACATTTGAAAATGTAAAGGTGTAAATAAAAATGTTGTAAACTTTCGTAATATTACTGGGGGTTTTTTTAACTATATTTTTCATCAAATACATGCAGCCTCATTGAGCATAACAGACTTCTTTCAAAACCATTATAAAAAATCTTACCAACCCTAAACTTTTGAACGGTGGTTCACATTGGGGCTCAAAGGCCTTTTTTTAATTAAACCTCAAAATATACAGGTTTTATGTTTTAAAAGCAACTAATCATTTCATGTTAAAAAAAGAATAATATATACATAAAGAAATATTTTAAATTCTGCACTGTTTTCACTCAAATTGCAATGCTGATAATATAATTTGTAGTGAAAATTGTTGCATTGAATTAGAAAATAATGCCAAAATGGAAGCATTCACACTAGTGGTGTCAGACTTTTGGAACAGACTCTTCTCATTCACACTCTCTCTCATTTTCTCTCTCTTTCTCTCTCTCTCTCTTTGCAGCCTCTAAAGGAAAACTACCTATTAAATGGATGGCGCCAGAGTCAATAAACTTCAGACGTTTTACCTCTGCCAGCGACGTGTGGATGTTTGGTAAGTGTGTGTGTGCTTTACTGCTTTCAATTCCTCTAGTCAAAATCAGAAACTCAAAATCATGTGGATGTTCAGACATTGAAAACGCCCACAAAAACCATTAGCATTGCGCGTTCAATGCATTTGGGACATCTAAATTGTTTAGAAAATGCATGTGTGTGTATAAAGAGGTGGCGTTGAGCTTGAATTTTTCCATCCTGTGTGTGTAGCGAAAGTTTAATTAATAGTGTAGATTGTGGAGTGATGCCACTTGTTTTATTGCCGTCTTTAATTAGTGCTAAAGTTGGGTTTCATCTAAAGTGGAATATTGCCATTGTCTTCATGTATATCTAGACTCACTTTATGTTTGGGTTTTAGGGGTGTGTATGTGGGAGATACTGATGTACGGAGTGAAGCCGTTTCAAGGCGTGAAGAATAACGACGTGATTGGTCGGATTGAGAACGGCGAGCGTCTGGCTATGCCTCCTAACTGCCCGCCGACCCTCTACAGCCTGATGACCAAGTGCTGGGCGTACGATCCCAGCAAACGGCCACGATTCACTGAGCTCAAAGGCCAACTAAGGTCAGTCCACATAACTTTTTGAGTTATGCTCCGTTCACTTTTAGCTGCATTTGAATATTAAAGGTCATGGTCAACAATTAAGCTTCCTTCTTAGGCTATGTTCAGACTGCAGGCAAATCAGATTTGTTTTCTCAAATCAGATCTTTTGAGGTACAGTAGACTGTCCATTGCAAGTGATTGAATAAGGTTTGTGTGTCCAGATATAATCAACCTATCTGCATGGGTTGCTTTTGTAATGACGTAGGCGTACGGACGTATGTGACGAGGCTTTCAAAACGGATGCAGGAAAAATGGAGGTGCATTATCTCTCTTTCAAAATAAGCACCCTGTCGAGTCGCTGTGCAGAACTCCGTCGCACATGAAAAAATCCGCAACCGAGGAGACTGGTATACATGTTTGAATGTATGCTTTCTGCATTTCTGTCACTGGTTTTGACGTTGCCGTTGTGTGTCGCCTTAAGAATAATACAAAAGAAATCCAAATTTGAACAGCCAGAGTGTTCAGACTGAGACACATCTGTACAAATCTGATTGGAATTGCATTTCAAATCACCTTCAAATTTGCTTTGAATCAGATTTGAAAAAATCTTTGAGAAAATCTGATTTCATGTGTTTTTTGCAGTCCTGACTGTCAAAAACCCATCTGGATAATAACTGGATATGCAAACAATCTGATTTTTGCTGGCATAGCCTTACATAACCAAAGAGTCTCATTACCACAGTAAATGAATCTGCCTGATAGCAGTAGATGGCGCTGTAATGCTCAGTATAAATAACTGTGTGACTGGTGTGATTGTTTAAAGATTGCTGGGCGCAGCAGGTAGAGATTCAGCATAACATTAACCCATGCTTGATTGAGTTGAATGAAAAGGACTGAGGTTAGACCTGTAATGGATTTTATGTCAAAGCTGTGGTTTTCTTTAACGCATTTAGCTGTGGTGCTCATGCAGGCTATTCAAGTCCAAGTGACATTTACTAGTGTGGTTTAGAGCAGTATGACTCCAGTGCTCAGCTTGCTCTATATTATAAAGATAAGCTACATACTACATATTTACAGTGGTTGTTACTGTTTCATATAATTGTTCATGTCCACCATATTTTTATGTTTTCTGATATGATACAAGAGCTTTTTTGTGAAGTCAACACTAATATTTAAACAGCAGGAAATGTATTTGACTCTTTCCTAGATGCTGTTGTTACATTGGTTTATATTGTACTTTTTGTTTATCACAAATATTTTATTATAATTTACTCCACTATTGTAATTTATCATTTTAATGAGCATTCTATCAGATTGAGCAGTACAACAGCACTCACTTTGATTTTTTTTTTCCATTTCTTAATTAGTTTTGTATTTAGATTTTAAACATTATTGTTAGACTTTTCACTGAAACTGTTCAATGCAATTATTAGTTTTATTTTTTTCTCTGTTTTATAATGTTATTTGTAGTTGGATGTTTTATCAAATTAAAACAAAAACATCTTCCAATGCACATATGGAGTACTATTCAAAAGTTTGGGTTTTGCAAAACAATTAGTTTTTTAAAGAAATGAATACTTTTATTCAACAAGTAAAGACATTTATTCTGTTTCAAATAAATGCTGTTGAAATTTCTATTTACCAAAACGGTCCTGAAAAAAGAATCACGGTTTCACATAAATATTAAGCAGCACAACTGTTTTAACAGTGATAATAATAAGAAATGTTCCTTGAGAAGCTAATCAGAATAGAATCAGCATATTAGAATAGTTTCTAAATGATTATGTGACACTGAAGACTGGAGTAATGATGCTGTAAATTCTGCTTTGAAATTACAGGATATACATTATATTTTGATTGTATCCAAAAAAAAACTTAATTTGCATTGTAATATTTTACAATATTACTGTTTTTACGGTATTTTTAATCAAATAAATGCAGCCTTGATGAACAAAAGAGACCACTTTCAAAAATATTAATATGTCTTGCTACGTAAGTGTAAACATTGAGAATTGCATTCTTAGAGGAAGTTTAATCTAGTTAAGCCTCGACTCAACCTCTTCAAGTCTATGACACTTCCTGTCTGGACCTGATTTCATAGTTACAATAGCAACTATGAAAAAAATCATCCTTTCTTTCTTTCTTTCTTACACATCCTTGAGTGTTTATCTCTCCCTGACCCTTTCAGGCATGTACACGCACTCCCTGCATCTTTCATGAGACAATAGTATTGAGTTCCCAAATGTCTGTTCTTGTCCACACATGCAGTCAATTCCTGTAAACGCTAATAGAGAGGGGAAAACGACCTGTACTCTGACAGGCCATCAAACACATGATTCCTCAATAATCTGAGGAATCGTGTTTGCCTTAAGCAAAAACATCCAAGATTTCTATTTGATATAAAACAGATTTGACAGCATGAGATATTTCCAAAATCTCAAGTTATACACACATGCCCCAGATATCCAAATTGAGGCAGATATGTCATGTTGCATCTTGAGTTTCCAAATGTATTCCTTGTTAGGTATCTTGGATGGAGTGAAAAATGTGTGTCGGAAAAATCAGTTCCCTCTCTGTACCCTCATTAATTTTAGTTGTACATCAAATTGTAGCACGTCTGTTTCTAAGAGACCCTGTAAATATTTGCACTGTTAATGCCATTTATGAAGCCAAATTGCAGCCATAACTGGTGCTGAAGTTATCAGAGCAGGTTCAGTCAATATGTTGTGTTTGATAAGGAAATTAGCCTCTGTATACTTGAGATCTATTGGTGGATTTATGCTCTTTAGAGTGTAATCTCAAGGTCAGCGTTGATGGGGTTTGTTTTAAAAGAGCGTCACGTTTATGATTTCTAAACAGCAGTTTTAATAGAACACACATAAAGTTTGTGTACCTTCCCCAAAATGATTTCTTAACGTTATTTCATCAGTGCATACTGAGATGAAGTGACGAGTATGAAATGTAATAGTCACATGGGTTTGACACACAGGATGCTCAAACAATTGGCTGTTCGTCAGAAGTCTTTGTCAGCGATTGCAGAAAGAAAGTCTAGTCTAAACAAACTGAGGAATGAATCATTTATGTTTGTCTTCGCACTCAACAGTTTGATTCTAAACATTGTAGAAGTACTGTAGTTTGCGTGTCTGTACTACTGTGTATGTTGAGATGTTTGGTACTTGATTCTGGACAGTGTAACATGAACTGAATTAGCCAGGTGTGAATGTTGTCACTTTCTTTTTAAAATAGTGGCCCTCTGAGGAACATAACAGCCCAGTAAAGTTCAGCATTAGACTTTAGGATTGAAGGTTTGATGGAGCAGACAGTCTGTTATTCACAGGCAGGCAGAGGATGATGGATTGATATGGTTTGGGTGAGTCTGGGACTCGCTGGCCATTCCATAGATTCTGTATGTGACCTTTTGAGAGACTGCAGATTTCATTAAGGCTGCATTTATACATTAAGAGCTGTTAAGCACAAATTTGTCATGACAAATTTAGTTTTGTTAACATTTTTTAAATTTAATGTTTCTTTTTTATGTTTTTTGACAGACTTTATTTTGTTGAGAAACATTTTTAATCCATAAGAGCCCTACATACAATTAGATGTAACCTTTTTTAACAATTATTTTTTTTAAAGTTTTTTAATCATGAAAAATGTACATTTTTAGTCAGGGAATGTTTTTAATCAAGATTTTTTTTGTTTTGTTGTTGTAAGAATTAATTTGATTATTAAGGGCTGCCAACCCCAAGCCTTAAGATTTTTTACCATTTTTGTTAAGATTTCTGAGGCCAGATTTTGCTTTTAATGTTTTTTACTAAGCTGCCTTTAAAGTTTTTTTTTTTAATTGTAGGACATTTTTGATTTTAACATTTTTAACAAGGTTTTGTTTGGAAACCTTTTTAATCCTCAATTGCTATCAAGCCCAAACTTATGGCACATTTTAATCTGTTTTATTAGATTCAGCTACAGCTTTTGTCTTTGAGAGCCTGAGACCCCTGCAACAGTTATGGCTGTGTATGATGGTCTGGGTGTGGGGAAGCTCAGCAGGTCTGGATTGATCACAACAGGTGTCCCTTCTGTTTATCCTGCATCTCTCTCTCTCTCTCTCTCTCTCTCTCTCTCTCTCTCTCTCTCTCTCTCTCTCTCTCTCTCTCTCTCTCTCTCTCTCTCTCTCTCTCTCTCTCTCTCTCTCTCTCTCTCTCTCTCTCTCTCTCTCTCTCTCTCTCTCTCTCTCTCTCCATCCACTCATGGTCTCTCTGAGATAATAGAGTTTCCAGAAATAGACCCTCTCTCAGTCCGCTTGCATTCTCTCCCCACTAAGACTTGCATGCTCCATTCTTTCGCACCTCTTGCGTTTCTGTAGCCACCTCTGAGCGCAAGACTTCACTGACGACAGGTACGAGCTTCACACATCAATACTATAAAGACTGTGTGGTGAGTTTTAAGGTCATTAATAACATTTCCATTCTTGTAAGGTTTTTATTTGATCACTAAAGCCATTTCTGTGTGTGTACTGTGAGCGTGAGCAGACCCCACCCTGAAACTGCACTACCGTTTGGGGTCGGTAAGATTTTCAAAGAAGCCTCTTATGTTAACCAAGGCTGCATTCCTTAAATTAAAAACACAGTGAAAACGGTAATACTGTGTATATACTATTACATAGCACTATTTTAATTTAAAATAACTCTTTTCTGTTTGAATATTTTGTTTTAAATAATTTATTCCTGTAATGGCAAAGCTGAATTTTTTTTTTTTTTCAGCAGCCATTACTCCAGTCTTCGGTGTCACATGATCCTTCAGAAATCATTCTAATTAGAAGTTTGGTGCTGAAGAAACATTTCCTCTTATCAGTTGAAAACAGCTGCTTAACATTTTTTGTGGATACTGGGTAAATGTTTTTACTGTCACTTAAAAAAAAAAATCTATTTAATGTATCCTTGCTGAATAAAATGATTAATGTCTTTAACAGATAAAATCGTGCTGCCCCCAAACCTTTGAAAATTAGTACATATGCACTAAGGCAGTATATAATGCATAAAGAGTGTTTGCTTATGTCTTTGTATTAGTGTCTCTTTTTATTCACGTAGCAGTCTAGAATGAGAAATGTTGAAGGATTATGTGTTAACGTCATGAAAGGCCTGTCATGCTCTTATTCAGGTTGTTTGACTATACTTACAGCTTGTCGTTACGTATTTGATTGTGAAATAGTGATTCTGGTATATTATGAATCTGCGTTTTTATTTTCCCTGGTAGTCGACCGTGTGTGGGTTGGGATCTTACACTGACTCGTCTGTGATGATAGAGTGACTCCACCTTTCAATCAATTGGATAAAATTGGAAATGTCTTCCTCTTGAACTCATTCTTATTTATAGGAATGAAAGTTTGAGGGGAAGTTACCTTACATTCACATTTGTACTAAAGAACTTTATTACTTTTCTGCTCTGCAAGAGTGGTCGCAAACTCGAGGATCCATTTTTAGCTCTCATCGTTTTAGAAGAAAGATGTTGATGTTTGATAGTGTTTTCCACCGGTGTTTGTGCAGTACAATCCTCTCGGATGAGAAGGCTCAGCAGGAGGAGCGCAGCCGTATGGAGATGAGGAGACAAGTCCCCGTTTCCTGGGACTCTGGAGGCTCGGACGAGGCGCCACCCAAAGTAAGTAACTACGCTGGGCTATTTCTTATGTTAAACAAGCTGATTTACAATGTCCTAATTAATGTGTAACTGGCTAAGAATGCAAAAAAGAAAATTTGTTTTAAATTCATTGGATTGTTCATGTGTTTTTTACATTTATGGCAGCCTGAGTTCATCTGGAACAGCAGATTTATTACTAAGGTTAACAGCGTGTCACCATTTGTCACCCTAGCACATGGTGGCTTGTTAGGAGATGTAGTATATGTGTGTTTTTTTAACGTAAACCAGGTCGGTGTTTTTTTTTTTTTTAAGTGTGAAAGATAGGACTAGAGCAATGTTTTCCCCATTAAAACTTTGACTGTTTTGCTTACAATATTTTTGGATATTTTATTTAGCAGCAAACAAGTGTTAAACAAGAGTGTTCATGTATCGTTTAAACATTTTTATAAGACAAGATGATTTTTTTTTTGATCTATCAAAGAAAAAAGACTATAAATATATTTCCTGCAGTGATTGATTTCATTATTGTGTGTTTATAGTTAGCCAGAAATTTTCCAGACCTTCCCTTGGTCTGTAATCTCAGCTCTCCAATGCCAGGTCACGTCTTCTGTCATGAAACATCACTGTATCTTGGATACAGTACCTTTCTAGTTTTTAATTTGTTGTGGTTACATACAGTGGGATCTGAACATCTGAGACCACAACACAAAGTATATTATTAGCATAGTAATCTGGTTTATTTGCTTATTTAATTAGTGTCCTAGAAATAGTGCAGATTTTAAATCTTTAAATATTTATATGTAAATATTTATTATTTCAATATTTGAATTAGATTTTGAATCACAGATATTCACTGTGGTCTCAGTTTGAGATGGTCTCGCTTTGGACCCCACCTTGTAGTACATATGCTTCCCATATGCAAAAATGCTTCTTCACATGTGGTTATCGGTCTTCTCTCTTCATCTTCATCTCTTCAACAAGCTTAATATGAAAATAAATATGATTAGACATCTTTCCTTATGTCTGCTACTAAAGACAGACTACTAAAGAGTTTTAATCTCCATTTTTATCACCTGACTACAAAGAAATTAATCAAAAATTTGATGATGGAAATCAAGACATCCATGAAATCACTTTTCTGGAAAAACAGGTCAAACATTCATGACCCACTGAGTCTTATGAAATGTCCCTTCCCAGCTTTTTGTTTTAGTTTGAAATACACTCCCATTTTACAAAATGAATGCTTTTATTCAGCAAGGATTCATTAAAATTGTGTGTCAGTAAAGGCAATTATAATGTTTCACAACATTTCTATTTGCTGTTCTTTTGAACTTTCTATTCATCATTAAATCCTGAATGTATCATGGTTTCCACAAAAAATATTAAGCAGCACAACTGTTTTAACACTGATAATAAGAAGTAATGTTTTTTAAACAACAAATCAGTATATTAGAGTGATTTCTGAAGGATCATGTGACACTGAAGACTGGAGTAATGATGCTGAAAATCTATTAATTTTAAAGTGTAATAATATTTTGCGATATTACTGTTTTTACTGTATTTTTGATCAAATATAGGCAGCCTTGGTGAACACAAGAGACTTTTTCAAAAACAATCAAAAATCGTACCGACCTCAAACATTTGAACGGTAGTGCGTGTCAGTACGATTTAAGTTTTTAATGTTATGATTAATATTGTTAGTCCGTCTGCTTTTTGACAGGGTTTTAAATCCTTCCCTGTCCTGTGCTGCTCACAATTATGGTGATTGATGGGCCAGGCTGATCTTTCCATTCGCTCTGTGTGTGGCTTAAAGCACTTCATACTCTTACTTTCAAACTCCCTCGCTCCCTGTCAGACCTGTCAATCATCCTGTCCAGGTGCTGATGTCTGTTTTTGTTGACTGGTCACACCTGCCGCTGTGCTAATGACCAGATTGAATCTGCTTTCACCCATATCATGTCTCACTATATTTCTGCTTTTGTCATCCTTTCTGTTTGTGCCCTGTTTCCTTGTGTTGGTTAGCTCATCTTTCATTGTGTGTGTGACTGTGTGTGTATGTGTAGCCCTCCCGCAGACGCCCCCTCCAGCACAGCTTCAGTATGGACTGTCTGTCTCCGTCTGCGTCTGCTGCTTCTCGCCCTCCACAGCAACCCTTCGGTTCCCAGATCTCCCTTTGCTTCCGCCAGCCCGAGTCGTCTGCCTCTCCTTTGGGTCCATGTGACAAACCCATCATTAACCAATCACCAAACGTGCAGCAAACGCTACAGCAAAACACTCGCACTCAGTGCCATGCTAATACACAACTGCTTCAGCTGTTACCGCTGCACTGCTCCCTGCTGTTTCCCCAGGGGTCCAGGAGGAGACCCTGTGTGTCCCCCAGTGCCACTCAGCCTGCTTTCTTCGACCCTTACTATCCCTCCATGCAACAGCTGAGCCTGACCCACGTGCCCTACAGATTCTCACAGGCAGGTGTGCTAGGGCTGTTAGCAGGGTATCCCGGGGTTTTACTGTAGTTTCTTGATTAGCACAGGTGCTTTTGTAGGTGCATGTCATTTTAGCTGCGGATTAGATGTTGTAGTGGTAAAAAGCAGTAAAGGGTTTAGTGCATTAGAGTCAGCAATGTTGACTGCAATATATAACTGTATATCCAAGCAAGTCCAAGCAAAACTCTTCATTTGATGACCAAGTGAATAAGACAATGTGCAATAGAGTGCAACAGTGCCCCACTTTTTCACCGACCTTGGTTCTGGAAGTAATTTCCCTTTCATTTTTTTCCCATATGGATTTAAAAAAGTATTTGTTAAAGAGTTATAAGCCATGAACCAAACCAACCTGCAATGAGGTTAGTCGCAAATTATGCATACATGTACAAATATTTAAGTAGTTACTTACTACATCATTTGCTTTGCTTCATGGGAGTGCACTGTACTAAAGAAAGTTTTTGGCACAGTTTTCTTTTGTACTTTTTCACCAGAAATGTCATTCTTAAACACAATTTAAAAAATAAGTAAGGGGTAATGTACATCCAGCTGGTTATCTCAGAATAAACACCGACAGGGTGATCAGGACCCCGAAGCAGAGGGGTCTTGCATCAGCCTGAAGGGGTTTATTCTGAGATGAGATAACCGGCTGGATGTACATTATCTCGCTTATTACATGGCCACTTGCCACATAAGTAAATAATTAGACACAAAATATTTCATTAGGTCTTTAAACGCGAAGCTTCTGCGGAGAGAGCAGTTGCTAGACCGGCAAGTTCAAACTAAGCGGACGTTTAAGGGATACTGTTCAGTCATACCACTTATTACACAGCATTTCGCCACATAAATCATTTTTGAGATGAAACTGTTTTAAAATCGTATCTGTTTGTATCTTATAATCCAACAGTGTACAAAACAATAGTCGCAAAATGGCAGCAGCTGCGTTTTTATGAAACGAGAGAGTGAGTCCTCGATAATAACTACACAAAATATTGATTTGACTAAGTTTTAATATTTTATTAGCTCACCAAACGCAAAACTTCCACAAAGAAAAACTTTTCCTTGGAAGTGTATAGCGCTGCTGACTTCAGTAACCCAGATGAGCCTGTGTTATCTGTTTTTATCTATTTAGCGAGGAATAACATACCGCTGGATGGCGCGATTGACCAATCAGAATCAAGTATTCCACAGAGCCGTGTAATAAGTTGAAATAATGTGGGCTGATGGTTTTAACAAAAGCAAATGGCATTAATTAACCACCTCATAGCTCACAGTATGTCTGTCTTTAAAGGTTTATAGGTTATTGTTAAGAATCAATGAATGTGATTTTAACTTCCAGAACCTGACTGTTGGACTATATTGGATAAATGAAGGATTAAATGCACATTGCGTGTCACCTTTTTCTTTCGGAGGGAGTTTATGAAGCACTTTCTGGTTTACGTGTATCTGTATACAGTACATGTTGGACAAAGCTGAGTTACAATCGTGCTCATACAATAAGCACATTTAGTGACTCGACTGCTCTTTACTGTGACCCCCAGGGAGTGTAGCGACTTTTAGGCTTCAACATAGCTGTTATTATAGAACCACTATTTGATCAACATCTTTTGATCAAGACTAAAAACAAGTGGGAAAAAAAATGCTAGCTTCAGATATTTTTCCAGATAAAACTGTGGAAAACTGCATGTTGCCTCTTCAGTGCATGTAAACTAAATTGTGTGCCAGACCAGATGTTTAACAATTGTATTAAAATGAAGGATTACCCTGTCACAGACGTGTGTGCTTGTGTGAATCTCATATTTGGCTTTATTTTCATAAATGCAGACAAAACAGTTATACGTAATAAGGCTCTCAACCCTTCCACATCCCCAAAACATCATTCTTAACAAAAGAAAATTGGTTCTTAAAGCAGATTGATGATAAACATCTTTTTTTTTTTTTTGCTTTGTTTTAAAGACAATATATCCCATCCCTCTCGTGGCAGTGTTCATGTGGGGTTCCCCCCCCATTTTTAACCCTTTTCTGTCCGTTTAGTGTGTGTTACTGTGTGTTGTCACCCCTTTTTCTCCTTTTGTTTCCTCCTTTGCTCATCTGGAGCTGTGGTCAGTCGACTCTCTCTATGAACGAGTTTATAAGGTAGATCAGTCCATCTCCTGTTTTCCCACCCGCAGCTGGACTCAGAGTATCCTAGTTGGTATCCCATTTGGATGAGGACCGCCTCCTGCCAAACAGCATTCATTCTTCAATCCCTTCCTTCTAATATTTTATACCCGCCCGATCCTTCTCTCAACTACAATAACATAACACATGCATTTTGTTAACGTTTAACTAACTGCTTGCATTTTATGTTTGACTGTTTTACTTTTTTCCCTTCAACAGCCTGAAATCTTCATCCACACAAAATGCACAAGAATTTAGTGTGTGTCTGGTGGACTGATTTTAACAGCATCTCCTAACCTTAACCTGACTGGTCAAGATGTGCTAGTACATTAACATAGTTGTGTGTGTGTTTACAGCCCAGTCGACCTGGTTATCCAAGTCCCCGTTCCAGTGAAGGGTTCTACCCTAGCCCTCAGCACATTGGCCAGCACAATCATTACCAGGTACAAAACCAAGGGGTGAATTCACTCAGAATGATTTGAGTTGGTTCAGACTACTAGATTGTGGAGGATGCATTAGACAACTAGTTGAATTACAGGTGGTTAGTGTATCAAGCGCAGGCTTTAGCGATGACATACTGCGTTGTGCTACTGTTTGAAAATGAACCCCGGAATGTTTATAAAGAAATAAAAGTTTGCTTTATATGTGCATTTGGCATGATGTAGATGGCAGGGCACTCTGGGCCACACGGCTTGCTTCCCGTACCTGGCGTGATGTACCCTCCCCAGGCAGCAGGGACTGGACTTGATCACCACGACAGCTGGAACCATCGCAGAACTACTCAGGATCACATGTGGAACCCCAGCATGGAGGTTAGATTCAAAACCGAATGAGCTGCCAACATAAACACCATTTTAGGCATCGAGACGCTTCTAATGTGAAGACAGTTTTAAACATTTACAACAAATGTTTAAGGCCTTTTAAGGTAACTTATTTTGGCCAAATTCGAAGGTTGCACTGAATGTCCTTCATAAATTAGGAAAATTGCATTGAAATATTATGTGAAACTCATAAACGCATAGATTCCTATTGAAATGATTGGATTTTGTTTTGCAAAACGTCGCCAAGCAGTGGTAAATGTGATAAAGCAGCTACTTTAACAAGACTGCAGTGCCAGTCTGATTTTAGCTGTCATATATTTATCATCATTTTATCATCTTTATTAGCTTTTTGTTCATGAGTTGTGTGCTTTTCAGGATGGTGTGGCTCTGCGCTGTGGTCTGTCTCAGCTGATGGAGGAGCAGTTGTTACTGCAGCAGCAGCAGATGGAGGACGATCAGCGCTGGTTAGAGCAGGAGGAGAGACTACTGGTACTGATCCCACTCACCTTCACCTCCTCCATCTCTTCCTCACATGTATCTGCTCATCTTATTCCCTTTTCCCTCTCCTCTCTCCTCCTGCTTAGCTGTATTACATGGGCGTTAGTTTTCACTTCTTCCTAAAAGCATTTTAGTAGTGAATCATCATGATGTTTATTTATAGCTGCAGCAGTGGTATGATATTCCAAACAGTCATTTTCATGTTTGTTTGAGAATAAGTGTGTCCACCAATTGCGGTTTCCTGCGCTATTTATTTGTAAACGGTTGTGATTGATCCTCACAATTTCACAACCTCTGCTTTAAGGTTTTTTTTGTTGCATTTTTTGCATTTGCATTCTTGAAGAATTACAGAAAGAATATGAATAAGGAATGAATGCGAAGGTATTGCACTCTGTGGAGTGTGTTATTGTTGCAGTAAAATGTATGCATATGTATGTTTTTATCCGCACAAGTTTGCCTGTGAATATTTGTGTGCGTTTGTGGTATGGCAAGTTTTGGCTTTCAGTCTCCGTCATTTGTATCTTCACTGTGTCATTATGTTCAGTCTGTCTCACAGAAAAAAACTCTCATAGCTTCCTGTACCAACTAAAAAGGGCATTCAGAGCTCCACCACAGCAAACAACATTCATTCTTCTGCTCAAACTATTACTTTTCCTCACAAACAACTTCTGTTGAAATGAAATGTCAGCTCTTTAAAGGATTAGTTCAGCGAAAAAGTATTTGTTCATCCTCGCGTTTTTCTAAACACACAAACTGTGTTTTGTCAATGGAACGCAAAAGGAGATATTTGGAAGAATCATGCTGCTCTTTTCCATATGGAAAACTTTGTCTGTATGATTCGTTCATTTTATTCCAAATCTTTTGAAGTCAACCGATAGAATTGTGTGATGAACAGACCAACATTTTATATTTATCACCAAGAATCTTCCACTCCGGTGACTGAATCATCGAGTCAATAAGTTTGAGCTCAAGAACTGAATCATTCCAGTTTGGGAACAAAGCACTCAGAATGAATCAGTCTATTGAAAAGAACTGGATCAAAAGAATGATTTGTTCATGAATCTGGCTAATTTGTAACTCACTGAAGCAGTGTTTCTCAAATAACCAGGTCAGTGAATTGTTAGATTATTAGTCAATAAATATTATTTTATATAGTGCATGTATGGCACCCATTATAATGCTGTTTGTTTTATTTTTTTATTTTTTTATTTTTTTAGTGGAGCTTGGCAGCCATTGTGTGAAAAAAAGCCGTCTCAATTTGTCTTTTGTGTTCCACCATTAGCAAATAATGACAATTTTACACATAAATAAGATCCAAATAAAATCCAAATGACCTAAAAGCCAAAAAGAAAAATATTTTTTTCATTCAAAAGGTTACATTCTTACAGTGTTTGACTCTTACAGCCAATGTGTGACCTTTTTTCAAAAAGCTTAGGATGGTTAAAAACTATTTGCATGCCTATTAAAGTTTTTTTATGCTGTGAGTGGAAAATTAGTTTTTTTATCCCGGCTGTTTGATACAGGTGCCGTTTTCAGGCATTCCTCAGTAATGAAGGGTTTTGTTGGCACTGAGGCATGAGATGGGTAAACTCAACCTGACCTGCATCTGCTGAAAGTTAAATTACTGATCACAGGAAGTTTTCATCTCTTCACAGATGTTATACGTGAATGTGCATGAGAAATAATAGGAGGGAAAGAGAGAAAACACTGAGCTAGGGAATGAGAGAGAGGAGGAGTAGTAGAGCAGAAAAGGGCTTGGCTTCGTTGAGTTGAGGCTCGTCGACTGTGAGTGAGTCAGTGTGGGTTTAATATGTCTCACATTCAGGAGACGAGTCACTCCACACACACACACACACACACACACACTCTGACTTATCCCTCACACACACGCTTGCTTAATGGAGATTTACTCTGTGCTCTGCTCCATGCTTAAGAAACGCCAGAGAGAAACACTCACAGGAACAGACAGGAAGATGCAGGTCTTTAAATCCTGCTTCGGAAAACTGGTACGGTAAACTTGGAAAAATTGGAAGGGGAGGGTGCCTTTTCAGTAAAGCTTGAAGTGTGCAGATTTTACACTGTTTTTATTTCATCTTTAAGGGATCTTGAAATGTCATGGACTTGTTGTCAAAGTGCTGTAAATGAGTCCGATTAGTTTATATTCATTTGATTTATGGATGCTTTATCGTTGTCATTTTAAGGTGTAGGAACAGACATACGGTTTGTGAGCAATACTTATGATGTGATTTATACGCAATGAAATGATTGAACATGAGAAATTTATTTTTGTAGCATCATGTTTTGCCCACAATGAAATTTCAGTGAGATCACACTTTATAACTGCATTGTAAACATCAAATGTGTTCTTATTGGCTATTAATGTGCCGTGCCATGCAGCAATGTCATTTTCATTGTGGACATGCAAATTACTTCTCGCTGGAATCTTGTTGTGTCGTTCCAGGTCAGGACGTGGTGTGAAGAAGCACAATACATGTGACAGACATGAATTTGTTGAACGAGGTGTCAAGTTTGACCTTCTTTCTCCTGTGTGTGTGTGTGTGGCAGAAGCCTGATGGGAGAAGTTCCAGAGGAAGCATTGACCGTGATGATGGAAGCCTTCAGGGACCAGTGAGTTTCTTCATTTTCTTTCTTTTTGTTGAAATACTCTACTGTTCGAAAGTTCGAGGTCAGTAAAGTCATTTTTTTTTTTTTTCAAATAAATATTAATGGTTTTATTCAGCAAGGATGCATTGAATTTCACAAGAATGCATTGGTGGTTTACTATTGAACTTTTTATTCATCAAATCAGCATATTAGAATGATTTCTGTTGAGTCATGTGAATGAAGAATCAATCACAAGAATAAATGACATAATACTGAAATATTCTAATACTTTGTAACTGTAATAATATTTCACACTGATGTTACTGTATTTTTAATCAAATAAATGCAGCCTTGGTGAGCATAAGAAAAAAAATCCGAACCCAAACTTTTGAATGATAGTGTAAATCTTTATAAACATAATGTAATGTTATGCAAGTTAATTTAAGGTTAAAGGGATGGTTCATTAAACCCATTAACCCTTTTCTTTACATGCGTGAATACAAAATGTAAAACGTGTACAACAGCAGTTCATAGTAGCCATATCTCTCAAGCAGGAGTTAATCATCTGATCAGATCATGTTAAATATAGTGGTGTTCCCACTCATGGACATCTGCCGTAAATTATTTTGTTTATGGGTGTCAACTCACACTTGCTGTGGGGGAATTCTGTACATGCACAGGAATTTCACTTAAATTGTTTTCAGTGGGAGACTGAAAGATTGTATGTGAAGATTATGTAACTCTATGATCTACAACTGTGGGCAGTGCTGGGTTGATTACTTACAAACTGTAGTCCGTTACTGGTTCCAAATTGCATGACAAAAATGTTAGTAAAGTAATCCATTACATTACACATTTTAGGTAACATAATCAGACTACTTTTAGATTACATTTAGATTACTTTTGACCAATTGTAACGTGTAAAATCTCATTTAGAAATTCTTTTTTTTTTCAGTTTTAAAGGTTTGAGACAAAGAATAATTCTGATGTAAATTAAGGTTAAGATTTTTCTACTGTAAGTCACTGATCAGATACATTTTTTTACATTAATTATGTGACTTTTTCTACAGTCAGATGTTCTTCAGGTTTGAGACTTGAGGTGTTCATGCAGCTTAAGAACTGAGACATTCTAAAACTCCTGTTTATTTTTTTAATTTGTTAAAATGGTGTTTATATAATCATTTGTAATGACACTATTTATAGACATTTTTCATAGTCTCCACTGAGATTCATTCATTTCGCCATAGTGTGTTTTTTTTATCAATTTTAAGGGTCTGAAGTGTCTATCATAGCTGGATATCTATCAAAAAGAAATTCATTGGGATAAATGGGAGACCAAGGACAAAGGCCCTTTTGTGAGGAAACATGTAGCAGTGGACACTCGAGAAACCCAATCTGCTCTGCCCTCCCACTTCTGATGTTAATACAGAACTACCACAGATGTTTACTAGTTTTTGAATGTTTCATGCGTGTCATGTGGATCTAGAAGAGCAGAACTCCACAGCTGCTCTAGAGTTTGTTTGTCTTCTGCAGTGGTTTTGAATGTCTATCCCGTCCCATTGGGCTGTCCTCTTTGATTCTCTGTGGTCTTGGCAGATGTGTGTGTGTGTGTGTGTGTGTGTTGGCATGCCAGGCATCCAGGCTGCTCCCCACCCAGACCACAACAACACACATGGCACAGTCTGTCTTGGCTCCTGCATATTTTTAACTGTTGTAACTGTTTTTTGTTTTGTTTGCAGACTGGAAACCAGCACATCTATCAACCTATAGGGAAAGCAGGTAAGTTATATGCCAGTTCTGTTTCATGTAATACGTCATTTTTGTTCAAAAAATTTAAGTAAGATTCTTTTTTAATCTTTTTGAAAAGTCTCTTATTCTCACCAAGGCTGCATGATCATAATACAGTAAAAAAAAAAAAGTGATATTGTGAAATATTATTACGATTTTAAGTTAATTGCTTGATTTATTCCTGTGATGGGAAAGCTGAATTTTCAGCAGTCTTCATGGTGAAGAAATCATTCTAATATGCTGATATGGTGCTCAAAAGAAACATTTCTTATCAATGCTGAAAATAGTTGATTCATTTTTTCAGGACTGTTTTATGAATAGAATGTTCAGAAGAACAGCATTTATTTGAAATAGAAATCTGTAACATTATAAATAGTGTATTTACAGTCACTTTTGATCAAAATAATAATGAAATAAAAGTTTATTTATTTCAAAAAGAAAAAAAAATCTCTTCCACTGTAATGTACATATCTTGCTAAGTGTTTTTGAATGCAGATGGTTTATAAATGGCAATGGATTTGTATGAAAATGTAAATCTGGTCCACTTGAAAATGACTTCCATATGATGTTGTTGCTTTTCAATGCTGCACTTATATAAAAGAGCAGATTGAGAGTTCCAGAATAACAGTTTCTTGTTGTCCTCAGAGCACGCAGCTCCTCCTAAAAAGCCTCCTCGGCCCGGAGCTCCCAGCCACCCAGCGGGAGTCTCCGGACTCAACCCTACAGAGAGCTACAATGAAGGCGTGAAGGTACCAGAACTACCAGTGAGAAACTCATGAGCATTGTGCTTGTGGAACTTTACAGTAATCACTGCTTGCTGTTTTTAAACCACAAAGTTTGAAATTCCACCAAACACACACTGGGAGGCTGGTAAGATTAGCATCTGTACTTGCGGGACGCCTTCAGGAGCAGCTAGCATGCCAACAGATGCTGTTTGCCAAGCCTCATTAAAATCATCCTCATTCCTGAAACCCCTTTCACATACACACGCACACAATTGCTCTGCGGGGTCTCTCATAAAAAGATCCCTGCACAGTTTCCATTCCAGCGCGTTTTCCTGATGCTGTGGGTCAGCGTGCAGGGGGTCTCACAAGCAATGCGGCATGGAAAATATCATTAGAAACGATGCACGTATAATTGCAATCTGTTTCTCCATTTTATAGTTTTTAGGAGTTTTACCTATGGGTGTGTTTGGCCCCAAAAAATATGTATTTAAGGTCCCGTAATAACACTCTTTCTAGTGTTGATTTTGTGTTGTATTTCAGTTTAAACAGCAAGTTTGGGTGGGGAATATTGAAAGGCTCATCCTGTATTCTTTTTAAATAGCTAATAGGGTTTATTTGTTCCACAATCGGGATGTAGCCTACTTCTTTTTGCTAGTCAGAGGCAAACATTCTCATTTGATTGGACAAAAAATTTGAAGTAGAAGATGATTTGTCAATATGTTAACAAGACAGTGAATTTTACATTTCTATATTTGCTAAAAATGTAGACCCAAAACTGTAATTTAAATTTTTTTTTATCGGGTCTTTAAATGTACATTTTGTTATATAACTTCACAGCACTAAACACTCCTAACGTTTTCATGAGGTTGGATAAAAAAACAGAATGATTCCGTAACTCCAGGCTGTTTTCTCTTTCTTTCGTTGCAGCATGTATTCGTAAAGTGATATTTATTAATCTCTTTCTTTTTCTCTCTCTCTCTCTGCACACTATTCTCTTGCTCTGTGCCTCTGCCCTTCCTCTGTTGCACTGTTTTTGCACTGGTAGCCCTGGAGGGTAAGACCACCTGTAGACTCAGTGTTATGTTTCTGTCTGTGTTTATGCCCCCTTTAACCAGTTGCTATGTCATTACTCAACCATATCATTTCGAATCATAACTTAATTATCCACTAAACTGAATTACATTGGCCGTATAGATCACTATGCATGTCCTTTGCTTTTTTAAATAAGCTGTGATTTTAATAATGTGCTTGTAGTGCAATCTAGTCTAGTGGAGGTTTTTGATCATTCTTTTGGGATGGGTGCACAGTTTTTTGAGACCACTTGGTTGTTTTAAATCTAAACTAAATGTGTCCCTGATCTCTCTATATTTTAGATGGGGGGATTTTTTGTATTCATTCTTTTTGTTGTCATATGATATTTTGTATTGAAATTGTAGGTGGAGTTTGGTCTCCAGTAGTTGCTTATATATTGCCATCTAGTGTCAACCATAACACATTTCATTATCACTTATGTCCAGTAACAAGATTTCAATAACACAACCTTCATCTAAAATCCTTTGTTTATGTACATAAATACTTGTAATGAAATAATCTTCAGTAATGCATAATTTTAAAACATGTTACTTTGTATTTGTCATTAGATTCAGCCTCAGGAGATCAACCCACCCCCAACAGCGAACTTAGATCGGTCCAACGATAAGGTCTATGAAAATGTGACCGGGCTGGTGAAGGCCGTGATTGAGATGTCCAGTAAAATCCAGCCAGCTCCCCCTGAAGAATACGTGCCCATGGTGAAGGTATGACACAACCTAAGAAATATACTAGAAATCTATACTTTAGGGTCACTGAATATGTAATTTGTTGTCCAGAGAGATTATCCTAAAGGGATATTTCACCTAAAACATTTTTTTTGTCATCATTTACTCACCCTCAGGTCGTTTTAAACACAAAAAAACAGGCATTTATAGTGCAGTCAAGTTCCTCTCAACCAGTGTTGTTATTGTTTACTAAAACTAGAACTAGTTATTTTTGGTATTATTGTCTCCCAAAAGGAAGAACCGATTCTGAACTGCCTGAAACGAGCCGTCAGTAATTCCATTCTTACTTCCGGCAAGAACCTACGTAGGTTTGTATCACTGGTACATCATCTACTTTGAGCCGCTCTCAAACATTGTAGTTGTAGCTGATGCCTGGAAGAGTTTGGTTCTTGTTGTTGACATGTCGAGAAGATGCTGTTTTCTGAGCTGTGAAAGCAGATCCACTTTGCATGCACTTCCGATGGACGAGGACCCGCGTTCAAATTGCTACGGTAAAACCGTTGCTGTTCGTTTCACTGTGTATGCAAGTGCTGAGGAAGCCTCTGGAGAAGAAATTCAGATATGGCAATGGCCGTTTCGTTTCCAACATCACAACAGACTGGGCCATCTGAACAATCAGAGCAGAGGAGGCTCTCAAAAAGGAAGGGTTTAACTTTAGAGAGACTGACTCGTTTATTCAACCGTTTCAGACACTGAGAAAAGAGATGCTGCAATGTTTGAAACTGTGTGTTTTTACCTTGGATGCATGTAAACCTGTTGTAAGAGACTAGAATTTTTACAATTGCATAATAGAGGCACTTTAAACTAAAATTTGAAATATTGCCTTGGCAACTAACTGAAATGAGTTCAAACTGAAATACTAAAATTAACTGAAATGAAAAATAAAATAAAGCTAAACTGCCGTTGCATTGAGCATACGGGATTAAAAACGACATGACCTTTAAATAACGAGTAAATAATAGCAAAATGTTAGTAGAATTTAATGGCAGAACTTGTTTTAAGATGAGCCATTATATCATTTTTGTACTTTCAACATTCTCACCATGAAAATGTGTGTTTCAGGAAGTAGGATTGGCACTGAGAACACTGCTGGCCACTGTGGATGAGACGATACCATTATTACCAGCTCACACGCACAGAGAGGTAAACTCGCATACTAACCCTAAAAAAATACTCTCATTCTCAATGTTCTTCCTGCCAGCTCAGCTAACTGTTAACTCCCATTCTTCCTCTTCAGATCGAAATGGCTCAGAAGCTTCTAAATTCAGACCTGGCTGAGCTGATAAATAAGATGAAGTTGGCCCAGCAGTACGTTATGACCAGCCTGCAGCAGGACTACAAGAAACAGATGCTAACAGCTGCGCATGCACTCGCCGTAGATGCCAAGAATCTGCTGGATGTGATTGACCAGGCCAGGCTGAAGATGTTGGGACAGGCACGGCCGCATTAGCCCTAGCAAAAGGACACGGTGATGCATGTGACGCCCCGAGAAACACACCAGCACAGACTTGTACACTAATGGAGTCTCATGGGCCCCCCTTCACTACTCACTGACCCTCACGTTAAGCTGCACGGTAGATCACGGGTACCGCGAGGAGGGCTCCGGATTTATTTAACAGATGAGCTGGACCGGATTGGAGTCATTACGAGTGAATCTCTTCCAGATCATAGTGGGCCGGTGACTGGATGCTGAGAGGGTGATTCTCAATCTGGGGGCCGCTTTGAGCTTTAAACGTCTCTGGAGGAAAAGAGACACTCTCACACTGTATCTAGTATATCTGTGTTTCATTGACAAGCCCGAGCTCCACAGCCAGACCACACAAATCTAGATTCCGCTCTAGTTCTGGTTGTAGAATCATAGAAGTTGAGCTGTTTCTAAGACTCTGTTTTGCACAGTAGAACTTGAGTTGGGACTGCATTCGCAAAATCTGGGTTTGATGAGTCTGGTTTTCCATTGCAGACTCTCACGCTTCTCCCTAGGACTGAGAGGGAGAGTGTTGTATATTTGGGCCTTGTGCCACCTAGAGGTAAAATAAAGCTATGACTGAAGTAAAATATGAATGTTGGAGTCATGTTTCCTTGTTTGACCCTGTGAAATCATTTGATGAGTTTTTTCCTTTTTTTTTTCGTCTATAGTTGGCCCCCTGATGCTACCGAAAGGGCCCCTTTTCTGCTCAGGGCCCTTAGAATCATCCTTATCTCCTTTCCACCCCCCCTATCCTGTGTTCCCCCCTCCCCCTCCTGTGTGTATTTATATATGTAATGTATGTATATTATGTATATATATATATATATAATATATATATATATATATATATATATATATATATGAGTTCATGGTTATGGTTTAATCAATAATAAATAGAGACCATGGACGTTATGTATAATGCAGATCATCTGCAGGACATTTCTGCCTGGAGTTTGAGAGACCAATCAGTCTGCTGCTCTTGCAAAACATGTTTACATAAATCTTAATTATGTGCCCCACAGGAAAATATTTATTCTATCTACCACATTTAGTCTTAACACCAGTATTTACTCATTCTTGACAAGCTAAGAACAGTTTCTGGTCTTCTGGGTGTTGGTTATGCCTTATTAAAGCCAAAAAGAGATTTTATTATTATTTTAATTATGTAGTGATGCAGAAGTGAAAAATGTTTTATTTTCCATACATATTTTCTGGATGACTGTCCCATGCGCTGCTACTATTTATGAAAACTCAATGTTATGCTGACCAATTACAGATGAGGACTGAACAGTAAAACCATAATTTCCAACATGCAATAAAGCCTTAAATCAAAATAATGGCTAAGGAAGCCAGTGTTGTTATAGTTAACGAAAACTATTCAAAATAGTTTTCGGTAATTGAAATAAAGTTTCAAATAAATATAAATATTTAATGAAAAACTAGTCTTGAAATTAGTGATGTAGCTTTGAAATAAAGTAAATTTGAAGTACTAAAATTAAACTGAAACTGAAATACAAATAAATCAGTTATAATTTTATTTATATAATTTATCTTTAATTTTATATTAATCTATTTGAATAATATACATTTAATGAAAAGTTTGGGGTCAGTACGATTTTTTTTAAAAGAAATTAATGCTTGTATTCGGCAATATAAAAAATTACAAATTAATGTAAATGAATCTAATAAAAACGATAAAAACACATGCAATTACTAAAACTAAAGTTAAAATGAAACTGAAAATAGAAAAAAAGGTCATACAAAATATAAATATATTATATCGGTATAATATAAATAATACTACAACTACACTCAAAATGGAAACCGAATATCTGGTTAAATCAGTAAGAATAAAATCATGTCACCAAGCATAACAACCATCTTAATAATAATAATACAAAATCCTTATTTGTCTAGTTTTTTATTTTAAATCTTTTAAGAAAATAGAAATTCTGTTTGTATTTTAAAAATAGAGATGGATTTTCATTTGTTCAACGAGTAGATAAAGTGGCTTTAACCCCAAAACATATTACGTTAATTCCAGTAGGGGGCGGTATATGAATACATTTAATATCACTGCTGCCCTTCAGCCTTCAACATGAGATAATATCTAAATGTAAGTCGGGCGTGCAAAAAACATCATAGGAAAAAGAATTAAAACTGAACATAAAGCGATTTCATTTTACAGTATGGTAGAAAACGTAGGCTATTGTTTAACTTCAAACTAAAATCACGCCCCAATCTAATATTAAGCTAATTTACCAAACTCGCATTAAAATTTAGTAAGTGGTGCAAAGCTCACGATACAATCAATGAAGTAAGTTTTTATTTTATTTAATTTTTTACTGAAACTCTTATTTTAAAAACCGGTATTGCGAGCTTGAGTTGAGTCTCTTATTTTGAAAAAAGCCCTCTCCGCCTGTCCTCCATCAGTGACCGTGTGTTCCTGCCGCCAGCTTCACTCTCTACTGTGCGCCTGATTATTTTTACGCCGTCGAGTCTGGCGGTGAAATCCAGGTCATCTCCGCCGGATCAGCAGCCAGTACGGCTCAGCCTTCTGCTCTCCGCGGACTCATAGTGCCATTTCCTGATTCCTCTTTGCAGAGGTAAGGAGCTGATATTCTCCTCGTATATGTCTGGTTTTGTGCAGATGGCATCAGATGGGTGCGTAATGGTGCCAGCTGTGCCAGTGGCCCCGCGGATATAGAGAGGAGCGCAGCGGGTTTAGACCGGGGCACAAAAAGTTGCTGGGACCCTCTGACTTCATATGCAGCCAGACAACTACAAGCCAATGATCGGGTCGGTGCGCTAGACTGTCATATTTCTATACTTCGCTAGATCAAATAATTTATCGGAGATATATTAGAGAGAAGTGGTCGTGCGTTAACGGAGAACACAGCCGGTTGCTTTAACGGGACCCTGCATGTAACCCAGTTCTTCATCCAGACATAATAGGGCTCATTTTGGCCCAGACAGCGTGAGCTATCTTCTTTATTCTGCCATAATGCGCTAATTATCAAATGCTATGATTATATATGATAAATTTAGTTTTATTATTATTATTATTAAAAATACATTACATTAAAAAACATATTTAGTTAATACCAAAGATGATTAAACTTCTATTTATAAGTAGTTTGATTCAGGGTATCCGCGGGGTCTTGAAAAGTATTAAAAGGTGATAAATCAATTTTGGGAAAATTAAGACCCTTAAAAAGTATTAAAAAGTCTTATCACGGCTTTATAAAGTCTTAAATTTTGAAAGTATTTTTTCTAGGGATGCACCGAATAATAGGCCGCCGAAAATAGCCCAAAAGTGCATTTTCGGTTTTCGGCCGAAAGACTTTTATCACCGAAACAATACGGCCGAAATGTTGTGATGACGCAAACAGAAACCGCGACCTGCACGTGCTTGTCTGAAGCAACATGTCTGCGATGTGGACGTATTTCAGTATATCTGAACCCGCGAGGAGACGGAAGCCTTGTTTATACTTTCGCCTGCCTCTGCAGCGCGAGTCTCCACAGACAGCGCGCGCACCGCTCCAAACGGTCGAGGCGTTTATACTTGACGCGCTCGCTGTTGTACTATTCTTTGAAACGACAGGGAGCTACTCAAGTAACTGTCCTCTAACCATCAGGAATCGGTGAGAAGAAGAAAGATAAACACGTGACAATGTTTATTTTTTAGTATGGTACAGCTAGTTAAACAATTGTGACACTTGTGACAACAATTGTGACACGTAGGTTGTAACACGTGTTTTGAAAGTGTTATTGTGTTAGTGTATAAGTCCATTGTGACTTAAAATGCATTTCATTTGTTTGTTCTTGTCACCATTTGACGTAAAATGCATTTCATTTGTTTGTTCTTGTCACCATTGTGACTTAAAATGCATTTCATTTCTTTGTTCTTTTTCACCATTGTGACTTAAAAATGCATTTCATTTGTTTGTTCTTGTCACCATTGTTTACACATGCACAAACACGAAATATGCACATACACCCCCCATATTCACACATATTTTATTGTTGCAGCCATTCATTTAAAATAAAAATGATGTTGTGGCATATCACTTGGAATACCCTTAGTTTTTGTGCATTTTGTCTACCTGTTACAACTTACCCCAGTATGTGTTACAACCTACCCTAGTAGTGGGGTAGGTTGTAACAAAGGACCACCTTGTATTCATGATCATCTCACAAAGTCTGTGATATATTTTGAAGAAATTTAAATTGTTGCCATTTGTAGTAGACAAATATGGGTACTTTGCCTAAAAGTTTCAGACGTGTAGCTAAAAAAAAAAGGTCGTTTTAGGTGCTGAAGAAAAAAGTGTTACAACCGTCCCCGGTCTCCCCTACCACCACCAATAGAAAAATAATCATGTAAAACCCAGTAAACCCTGAGATTATTACTTGTGACGTTACAACAAAATATGTATAGGAATATGTATTAAATTAACGCTCTCTTAAATATTTTCAAATTTCACTAAACATATTTCATTAAGTTTCGTGTACATTTGTATTAAACATGGACCTTTGTCCATTAAAATGGCTTTTTATGCTAGTGTATGCTCATTTTTAAAATGTAATCAACTAATTTAGACGTGCAAACTGGATGCTGGTGTGATGAGAAGTTCGTGCTCGGCTTTGTTTTTATGAGAGAACATTTCATTTTAAAACCTTTCTGCAGGCCAGCAGATTATTATTTAATGTACACATGAGTGGGGTCAAGTTAAACATTTTAGTTTGAATTTTATTTTATACTGTGCATTGTGCTAAATAAATATTTGCATAATTTGTAATTGATTTATTCTTTGAAAATGTTAATTTATGCAATTACAATGCCTTGATTTTAGTAAAGTTTGTACACAGTCATAACCATAAATGCAATGGTACTTATAATTGGCATAATTTCTTTCGGTGTTTCGGTTTTCGTTTTTTCGGCCTTGGGTTCCTCTTTTTCGGTTTTCGGTTTCGGCCAAGAATTTTCATTTCGGTGCATCCCTAATTTTTTCTGAATTAGCTGTCCAACATTTTGAGTCCCAAAAACATCGTAAAAGTGTGTAAATTTAGTCTTTTTTATTTTTTTTTTAAACGAAGAACTGAGGCACATGTCAGCATGATTGTTGTTGAGGGTGGAGCAAAGTTTTGTTTTGTTTTTTAATAAACTTTGCTTTGATTTACTATACCAGCCTATTTGATTTTTAATTTTTTTTATCAGAGTGGTCTATAGTCTTTATCACAAACTAAAACTGTTAAGTTAAAAGTATCACTAATGTAAATCGTTACAGCTTGAAGTGGCGGTGAGGTATTAAAAAATATTGAGAAGGTCTTGAAAAAGTCTTGAAAAGGTATTAAAATTAACTTCAAGATTCCTGCATATACCCTGTTGATTGGTTTGTATACTTTTTATTGCAGTTTATTTATATAATTTTAGGATTACATGGCTACTTAAATTAATACATGGACATGAAATTTAGATATTTGTTAAAATAATTTTAATATTTTATTTATTTGTAGTTTAGATCAATAATAGTACTTATTATTTATATACTATTAATTTTATTATTTGCAATTACATTTTTAAGGATAAAAC